TTTTGTGCTCAAGGCTAGCTCTCTACTACTTGAGCCTTCAGGTTTTTTGGTGGTTACTGGAAATAGTCTCATGAACTTTTGGGCTTGGGCTGGCTTCAAACTGTAATCCTCAGATCTCAGCCAACTAAATAGCTAGGATTTATAGGTATGAGCCACTGGTGCCAGGCTACAAATTTTTTTTTTTTTGTCGTGGGGTTGAACTCTGGGCCTGGGCGCTTTCCCAGCTCAAGGGTAGAGTTCTACCACTTGAGCCACAGGGCCACTTCCAGTTTTCTGAGTGGTTAATTGTAGATAAGCGTCTCATGGACTTTCCTGCCCAGGCTGGCTTTGAACCATGATCCTCAGATCTCAGCCTCCTGAGTAGCTGATTACAGGTATGAGCCACTGACGTCCCGCACAAATTGAAAAATTTTAATGGAGTAAATGCCAAAATAAATACACCAGTATTTCCTGAAAACAGGAGTTTCGAATCTGTCTGAGGCTGCAAGTTTTCCTACTTTAGCCTAGAAAAAAACAACCCTAAATTAACCAGCCCAGTTTTTCCCTATTATTCCGTTTCTTCCTTTCCATCTCACTAAGCCACAGTTCAACTAATGCCCAATAAGACCACTCAACTTGTCAGTTTAGAACTGCAAATAAAAGACTAAACAGAAGACAATTATATGCCTGTAATTCCAGCTACTCAGGAGGCAGAGGTAGGAAGATCTTGAGTATCAGTCTGGGCAAAGTTTACTGAGATCCTATCTCAAGAATAAAATACATGGGGCTGGGAATGTGATTTAGTGGTAGAGTTCTTGCTCAAACCCTGGGTTCCATTCCTCAGTACCATAAAAACAGAAAAAGCTGGAAATGGTGCTGTGGCTCAAGTAGTATGCTAGCCTTGAGCAAAAGCAGCTCAGGGACAGTGCCCAGGCCCTGAGTGGCAAAAACAAACAAAAAAGAATAAAATACAAAAGGGCTGGTGCATTTAACAAGTTTGAGGCCTAAGTTGAAACTCTGGTATGGCAATATTATTAAGTGTTGGTAATAAGGATCTGTTGCTAGAGGGAATATCAATGATGTAGTCATGATTAGGAAAGTGTAGCCGCTCCTCCAAAGGTTATGTATAGTTCCCATGTGATTCAGGAATTATCCTACATATTCAAGAAAAGTGAACACAGGTGTCTTTACAAAAACTTGACAAGATGTTCTTGTCATAACTATTCACAATAGCAAAAGAGGAAAAATGAAATTGTCTATCAACCAAAGAATGGGTTAAAAAACGCATTATATCCACATTATGGAGTACTATTTGGCAATAAAATGGGATAAAGTGCTGGAGGCCAGCAGCTCACACCTGTAACCTTATCTGCCCCTGAGGCTGAGCTCTGAGACTCATCCATAATTAAGTACAGCTATGGCTCAAAAAGGTAAGAGACAGTGCCTAGGCCCTGAGTTCCATTCCCCACGTACAGCCAAAAAAAAAAAAAAAAAAAAAAGTGATGAAGTACTGACACATACATGTTGAAAACATTATGCCACATGAATGAAAAGGCCATATATTGTATGTTTCCAGAATAGGCAATTTTTTTTTTTTTGTCAGTCGTGGGGCTTGAACTCAAGGCGAGCGCTCTACCACTTGAGCTACAGCGCCACTTCCGGTTTTCTGGCGGTTTATTGGAGATAGGAGTCTCACGGTGTCTCCTGCCCGGGCTGGCTTTGAACCACGATCCTCAGATCTCAGCCTCCTGAGTAGCTAGGATTACAGGCATGAGCCACCAGGGCCCGGCCCCATAGGCAATTTTATAGAAAGAAAAACCTAGTGGTTGCTGAAAGCCAGGAGGAGGGGAAGCTGGCAATTATCTGCTATGGAAGGGATTTCTTCTGAGCTAACAATGCTCTGAAATTACACAGTGGTGATGGTTGTACAACTCTGTGAATATACTAAGAGCCAATGTATTGACTTTAAAATAATTATTTTAAAATGTAAGATAATATATTTAACGTTATCGGGTTTCTATGCTAATTTTTTTAAGTTAAAAGGTTTAAAATAACCAGGCACACCTATACACCTAGCTCCTTGGAGGCTGAGATCTGGGAGGATTAAAGTTCAAGCCAATCTGAGCAAGAAAATTAAGACCAACATCTTAACCAGCAAAACAAATCCTAGTGAGTGGTGCATATTGTCACCTAAGTTATTAAGTAAAATGTCCAATAGGGAGATAGTGACCCAGGCGTGTGGTTGGGGAAGAACCAAGACTCTAACTGAACAAATAATAAAAGGTGTGGAAGCTGGGCGCAGGTGGCTCATGCTTGTCATCCTGGCTACTCAGGAGGCTGAGATCTGAGCATCACAGATCAAAGCCAGCCTGGCCAGGAAAGTCTGAGATTCTTATCTGTTATTAAGAAAACCAGAAGTGGTGCTGTGGCTCAAGTGGTACAGTGCTCGCCTTGAGCTGAAGAGCTCAGGGACAGTGCCCAGGCCCAGAGTTCAAGACCTATGACCACACTCTCCTCCAAAAAAAAAAAAAAAGGCGTGGAGGTGTGACTCCTGCAGTAAAGTAACAGGTAAGCAAGCACAAAGCCTTGAGTTCAAACCTCAGTACTAGGCCCTCCTCCACCACCCACCCCCAAAAACCCTGCACCAAGAAAAACAAAAAGGGCTGAGGACACGGCTCAAATGGTAGGATAAGGATCTGAGTTCAAACTCCAGTTTAAGGAAAGGAAAGAAACAAAAAGAAGAAAAACTGGCTAAATGAAGTACATTTGGAAAGTAATTTAAATAGCACAGTGCAAGTGGCAGCAGTATAACGTATGGTCTAAGTTATGTGTAATGTATGATGATACCTAGCTGTGTGTATACTTTCTATATTTGCTTTTGGAAAGTAACATGAGATACATACAGAAACCTTTCTGCAGCTGTCAATACTGCTCTCCTTTTACAGCTTAATTAAGCTCCATACTAATAGCTTTGAAGGCAGATAGGCAGTGAGTAAAGTCAAAGACTGGTCACTGGCTAATCCTCTACTGAATAATCAAGGATTGCAAATGCACGTTAACAGCAACAAAAATACATTAAAACAGTTGATTCTTCTTTGTGTTGTTCTAATCTCTTCAAGCACATTCTCCCAAAGAATTTTAAACAGTCTGTACAAACCAAAACTTTGTGATGAAGTTAAAAAGATCTCAGTATAAAAGCATGGTAACATTTCCAATATTTAATACATTGTCCATTCTTGTCCTTGATTTAACTGAAAACGCAAAATAGCAGAACTAGTAAAACACATGACATAAGAATAGCACTTCTGCTTCAAGTTCATTAGTACTCCAAGAAGTAGTAATAATTTTAATGATTCCCTGTTTTCCCCAAGTTTTTCTAGAATTTATACACCTGGGCAGCTTTCCAATGACTCTTCATAATATGTTGCTTAAAAATACTCTTACCCCCAAACGCAAATAAGTGTGTAGCTTAATCCTTTTATAATGAAGTCAGGGCTGACTGGCATGGATGAGTGAGTAGTAAGAGTTGGAAAGTTCTATGCAGACGGTAATGGGGCAATCAGCGGTTAGTTCTGTGTGCTTCAATACCTCAGGGTGAGGAACAGTGTCAGACACTGGGCTCTTTAGAAGCAGACCAATTGAATGCCAATGGGTGTGGGCCTGGTCTTGTCTAGTCTTGCTTTTCTCAAGCTCTATAAACCAGCTTTTGCTGTAAATTCTTAGTACTGAATTAAGTCAGCAAAATTAAGGAAATTTTAATTTCCCTTTCTGATTACTTCGGTATTGTCCCAATGGGTAATGTTCAGTGTGATCTTCCAATAGGAAGTACCATGTGAACCTGGACATCAAATTATTCAGAAAATGTTTGCAAGTTCATAGCAATATTACAGATTTTTAAAATACTTCTCACGGCTCTGAGATCTGATGCCAACTATTCTAGGAACGGTTCCTAAGGAATTAGGCTGGGCCCAGGGAACCATCCAACTTCTCCAATCAGGTATCAGAAGGGTAGACTTTTGAACAGTCCCCACCTCCTCCAGCACGTGTGTCATACAAGCTTCCTACATTTTTCTTTCGTTTTACAACAAAGCTACTTTGTTTTTCAGTTTTCTGCCGGGTGCCGGCGGCTCACACCTGTAACCCTAACTCAGGAGGCTGAGATCTGAGAATCATGATGCAAAGCCAGCCAGCGCAGAAGGGTCCGTGGGAGCCTCTTATCCCCAGTCAACTACTCGGAAGGGGCTCAAGGGCTAGCATTTTGCACCGAGCAGCTCAGGGGTAGCGCCCGGACCCTGAGTTCCAGCCCCGGGACCGAGGAGAAAAAAAAAATAATCCACGTTCACCGTGGCTTCACAGATTGCTCGGCCGCCGGTTCCTGGCTCTGGGACACCTGCCAGCCACCCGTCTGAGAACAGGGACTCCGTTTCCACACGCGACAGCCCAAGGCCCTGGAAAAACAGCCATTTTCGGTTGACCTCCTCACCTAGCCTTAATGGAACCTCAACTTCGTTTAAGTCGTCGCATGCCGGACCCCGGGCTACAGCTTTCAGGTCAGACCTTCCCGCTCTCCGCGCCGGAGATCAACTGGGCCTTGCAGCTCCGGGCACAGACCCCCTCCCCAAACCCGGGCGGAGGGGCGACCACGCCGGTGCGCGCGCAGCCGCCGCGGCTGGAGTGGGGAGTGGGGGGGGCGAAGGGGAGGGCCCGGCAGGGGGCCCGGGGGGAGAGGGGGGACGGGGGGGGGCAGGGAGCGGCGGGGCAGGCCGCAGGCCCGAGGGCTGCGCGGGCTGCGGCGGTGGCGAGCGGCCTGGGCCCGGGCTCGGGCAGGAACCGGCACGGAACGGCCGCGTCCGGTCCGGCCCGGCCCACCGCGGCCCGGCCCACCGCTTCCGCTACTCGGCGGGTGGGGCAGCGGCGAGGCGTTGGCCCCGGCGGCCGCGGCGCGCGTCCTCGCTGTCTCTCAGACCGCACAAAGGTCCCCACATCCCCTTACCCCAGCCCGGCTCCCGCACTCTCCTCACCTCTGCCCGGAAACCGGCCCCGAAGCCCGCGAAACGCTCCCTGCGCAGCGACGGAAGACGACCCGAGCTGCCGGCCTGACGGGCGGCGACCAGCTCGGCCCCACCCCCGCCGCGACGCCCGCGGTTCCGTCTCCGAGCGAGCCCCGCCTCTCTCCTCGAGCCCCGCCCTCGCTAGATGGCCCAGAATCCCGGATGTGGCCTCCTTCCGCGCGCGGAATCCCCGCCCTTTCCCTTTAGGGCCCGTCCCTTCCGGGTCATCTACGGGTCGTGCGGAGCCGCGAAGGCGTTTCGACGCCTCTCCCGTGGCTAGAGCGTCCTCCCGCGCTCCGTCGCGCTGCAGGTGGTGGCGCCCGGAGGCTGTCGGGAAGGAGGCGGGGTGACGTGAGGCTGACGAGCTCCGCGGCGGGTTTGCCGAGGTCGGTGGCCGGCGGCGGCGGCGGTACCGGTACCGGAGGGGCCGCTTGCTCGAGAGCCGGCGGTGGACGGAGCGGTGTGTGGCCGGGGCCATGACGAGCAATGCCGGGGAGTGGTGCCTCATGGAAAGCGACCCCGGGGTCTTCACCGAGCTCATTAAAGGATTCGGTGAGAACCGAGCGGTGGGGGGGGGGGCGTCCTGGGCCGGGGGGCGGGAGCCTGGCTGCGGGGCCGGGCGCGCTCGGCCCGCTCGGCAGTCGCTCCGGGGGCCGGCGCGAGGCGCGGGTCGGGGCCGGCTCGTGCCCTGCCGCTCGCCCGCGACGGCGGGGACCCGCGGGCTCCCCCTGCGCCCGGTGCCCCGGGGGGGGGTGAGCCTCCCCCCCCGCCGGTGCGGCCGGGGGCGGCGCTCCGGCCCCCAGCCCTGCGAGGAAGGAGCCCGCGAGGCCAGCCGGGGCGTGTCCCCTCAGGGCGGGCGGCCTCGGGGCGTCCGCGCGCGACCCCCGGGGCGCGGCGCGCCCGCCGCCCCTCCCGCGCCGGGCGTCCTGCGCGCGGCGGCTTCCGGCCCTCTGGGTTTTCTTCGGGTCGGGCGCTCGCGCGGAGGCCACGTGCTTCGCTCCCGGAGCCACGGCGCCCCCCCCCCCCCCCCGCAGGTCGGCGGCGCGGGACCGCGTCCTCCCGCGCCCCGCCTCGCCCGGGGGCGTGTCGTCGTCACCTCCCCTCCGTTACCGGGTTTTGGCTATTTTGTCAGGACGTCCACCTGGAGTGACAAACGTTACTGTAGGTGCCCCGGCGCACGTCCGCGAACGTTTACGGTCACGTTTACTACGTGTGGCTCGCCTCAGGCACACGGTTAAGGATTTCGGCATTTTTATTGTGAATAGTGCTTTGAAGAACTGACAGATCTGGGTAATTGTTACGTTAAGAGCGTGCAGGAAATACTCAAAAGAACTCAGGTCTTGGAGGCACACGGGCAAAAAGGAAAAGCGTAAACTGTAGTGCTGTTGGTTACACATAAACAGTTTAGGAAGCAACAGATTAAAAAGCTGTCACGGTGAGGAAGAGTAATTGGATCTGAAGTTTCAAACTGAGGCCATGTTGCATCCTTTGGATCGCCGGGTTGTCACTGGGTACTTAATGAAATGAGATGGCTTCGGAAATCAAGATGTGCTAATGGGTGTGGTGTGCCTTGAGTGAGTGGAAGGGGTGAGGAGCTTGTCACTTCACCGACGAGAAGTCTCTGAATCTTAAAACGGTGAGAGTGAAGTGCCTGGCTTGACGACAGGGCAGTGGAGAGGAGAAGGAAGAGTCAGTACTTTGTGGTGTTTCATTCATCTCTTGCATGTGGAAACGCCTCTCCTTGCTTTTGGAGCAGGAATACATCCATAGCATGCTACATTGAAGAAGGAGTTCTCAGGGCTGCCAACCTTCCAGTAGAGGTTGAGTAGTAGTATATTTCTCCTACATCGAAGGATAGTGAAATCAACAGGACTGCTGAGTGGATGTGGGGAAAAAGAAGTGAAAATGACTCTGGTTTCTATCTAGGGTGGCTGGTAATGTATAGCTACAAGAACAGGTTCAATTTTGGGGTAAGTTTTGCACATAAACTAAGTTTGAGATAGTTCTAGGTTGAATCAAAACCTTAGCAGTTACGATTTTTTTTTTTTTGTTGTTAGGGTTAGGGTAAGGGTTAGGGTGAGGGTGAGGTTGAGGCTGAGGGTTAGCGTTAGGGTGAGAGTTAGGTTGAGGGTGAGGGTTAGGATGAGGGTGAGGTTGAGGCTGAGGGTTAGGGTTAGGGTGAGGGTGAGGTTTAGGGTTAGGATTAGGGTTAGGGTTCGCTGTTACAATATTTTAAAAGTTGGCCTTCGCAAGTATTGTTGCAATAGGTTTATTTTAAAATTGGTGGATCACTTGTAATCCTAGCTACTCAGGAGGCTGAGATTTGAGGATCACAGTATAAAGCCAGCAGGAACAGCAAAAATAAGTGAGACTCTTAAAACTACTCAGAAAAAGCCAGAAGCAAGGATTCTGTAGTGGTAGAGTACTAGCCTTGAGCAAAAGCAGCTCAGAGACAGCCCCCAAGGCCTTTGAGTTGAAGCCCCAGGATTGACAAAAACTACAGCAACCCCCCCAAAAACCATCATTCTATTGTCAGCTAGTTTTGCAATTTGATATGTACAGAAAACTTAGGTCTTGAAAATGATTTAGGTTGTCCCTAGCTACTCTGGAGGCTGAGACTTGAGGAAAGTCTGTGAGACTCTTATCTCCAATGAACCAACCCCAAAGTGGAAGTAGAGCTGTTGCTCAAAGTGGTAGAGCACTATAACCTTGAGAACCAAAGTTCAGGGCCACTGCCCAGGCCCTAAGTTCAAACCCCAAGACTGACAAGAAAAAAGAAAAGAAAAGAAAATGATGTAAGTAAAGTTGTAAGACAGTAATACATAAAAGCATCTTGGGCATCTAAATGTATTATAAATAAAACAATAGCTGTTAATGAATTGGCTCCGTTAGGAAAAGACCTTTGCAAAAATGTTTACTGTTTGTAGTTGCATACAATCAGATACTTGAAAGAAAAAAACCAGCTTATTCCAATCATTTCCATTTCTTTTTTTAAATCCAGTTCCTGGACAAAAAAAAAACCCAAAAGAACCTTTTGAAGTTAAAAAAAAAAAAGTTTTCCTGTTGGGGGCTTAAACTCAGGTCCTAGATGCTGTCCCTAAGCTCTTACACTCAAAGAAAGCACTCTACCACTTTGAGCCACAGTTCCACTTCTGCTTTTCTTGTGGTTAATTGGAGATAAGAGTATCAGGGATTTTCCTGCCTGGGCTGGTTTTGAACTGTAGTCCTCAGATCTCAGCCTCCTGAGTAGCTAGTATTACACACATGAGCCACTAGCAGCAGCTTAAAAGTTCTTTTTTAAACTAAGAAGCTGACAAAACGTTTATGCTTTAATTATGATGCACACTCACAGAATACATACTTGTGCCAAAACAAACTGATAGTTTATTAATAGATAGACATTATAAACTTTTCACTAAGGGGAAGTAATGAGGACTAGTTTTCCCCCTCATAGACAAAAGGCTCAAATATCTTTTTAAGGAATGAGAACGAAGAACACATTAAACCTAGGTTAAGCAGGTAGAAAGTAATAATAAAAATCAGAATTAAAGTTATTGAAACGAGAGAAAATATAGAAAATTAAGGTTTCTTTGAGAAGATTTGGTGAACCTCTAGCCAGATTAATCAGATCAAAAGAAAGAAAACATAGGAATGGGAGAGGTGGCATCATTGCAGATTCTACAGATGTAAAAGAATAGGAAATACAAGTTAGGGTAAATTTGACAACTTAGGATGCTTGCCAGCTAACAAGTTGGTTTGCCAATTTCAAAGATGCTGCTGGACAACTTCTGCTTTAAAGATAAAGGATCCTATTATACAGCATAGGAGGCAGGGGGACACTCGTGTTTGCATCAACCCCTTGTTCTCCAAGGGGGAAGGAAATGGACCCAGGTAGATACTGTATTTACACAAAGTGATTCTGTGTCATAGCTGAGAAATTCTGAGTTTAGGAAGCTCCCAGTCTTAGCAAACCTACTCAACCTTTGTTTCCAGGTAAACATCTCTGTTCTTTAGACAAGTGCCACTTCCGAACTATCTGAACATCCTTGAAAACATAGTCCCAAGCAAAGCCAGTCACTCCTCTCAGAAGGACAGAAACAGCCATCCATTGAAAAATGTCTCCTAACAATGCCTGTACTTCCTTTCCACACAAATAGGTCATTCCCTCACACTAATTAGCCTGACCTGCCTGACAAGTTAATATCACATCTGTTTATCTCCTTACAGGATGTCAGGTATTTTTCTCTTTTTTTTTTCTTGGCTCTAGGTACAGCAGGATGCATAGTAATTTTGCTGACTGCTTTGACTTGAGAAAGGAAATTTGGAGTACCAGTTGAGGAGTAGAAATTAATAGGGTCAAGCTAGGCACTGGAGGCTCATGCCTGTAATCCTACCTACTCAGAAAGCTGAGATCTGTGGGATGGTGGTTTGAAGCCCGTCTGAACAGAAAAGTTCACTAGATTCCATCTCCATAATAGCTTGCAAAAAGCAGAGATGGAAGGCATGGTTCAAGTGGTGGAAATTGGTAGAGTGCCAGCCAGGAGGTGCCAGATCCTGAGTTCAAACTGGTACTAGCAAAAAAAGAAAATACAAACTAATAATGTGTCCATTTTAGACCTGCCAGTTCAAGTCTCAAAACTGTGTGGCCTTGTTTTAAAAGAGATTGAGGGCTGTCAATCCAGTTTTCTCCTATAGTCAGATCACCAGCAAAAATCATTTATTTGTATCATGGGCTAAAAGCATGAGGTTGGGGAAGCATCTGGAGGAGGTAGTCTGTGGGGGGTGCAGAAGCTGGGCCTTCCCTATTCTTTTTGGTAGACTTGGTGAAGGGAAAGGGCAGTCAAATGGTCAAAACTCTGTTGGAAAACAGCACTGACAACAGTCTGTGAGTTCCTCAAAGTATTTTTCTTGTGCTGGGGCTTGACTGCAAAGCCTGAATGATGTTTCTGAGCGTTTTTGCTCAAGGTTAGTGCTCTACAGCTTGAGCCACAGCTCCGCCTCTGTTTTTCTGAATGGTTTATTGGAGATAAGAGTCTCTGGGGCTGGCTCAGCCTCCTGAGTAGCTAGGTGGCATGAGCCACCAGCACCCAACATTGTTAACTTTTAAAAGAGGGCAAGGATAGGATAGGGGAAACAATAGAGGAGGAAGACACTAGAATTGAGAGAGAAAAGGAACAGTCATAGGGTGCTAATGTAATGGAAACAATAGGATTGTGAATAATAGAATAATGTAATGAGAAGTAGTAGAATTTGGCCATGAGCTTTATCACTTTTTCTCATATGAATTTGTGTATCTGTCTGGCTTATTTAATTTATTATTGTAAAGGTGATGTACAGAGGGGGGTTATAGTTACATAGGTCAGGTAATGAGTACATTTTTTGAACAGTATCATCCCTTCCCTCACTATCTCCCAGTTTTTCCCTGCTTGCCTCCACTCCCAAGTTGTATACTTTTCAACATAGTGTCTAGTGAGCATCTCTGCTGCATTTGTTGACCCTTAGAGGCTTTTTTAGTTGGTGGTAAAGGAAAAAGTGAGTTAGTTTCTAAAGAAATTATTTTTTTTTCAGGTTGCCGTGGGGCCCAAGTAGAAGAAATATGGAGTTTAGAGCCTGAGAGTTTTGAAAAATTAAAGTAAGTAAAATTCAAGTTGTTTTGAAATAAAATACCTATACTTCAGACTTTCAGGCCAAATACATTGTCTTCTTTAAGCGTATTTTTAACGTTAAGGAACAGGAGATGTTCCAGTATTTTTTTTGTGGGGGGAGGGGAGGTCTGGTCGTGGGGCCTGAACTCTGGGCCTGGTTGCTGACCCTCAGCTCTTCAGCTCAAGGCTAGCGTTCTACCACTTGAGCCACAGCACCACTTCTGGCTTTTTTCTTTTTGCTTATGTGGTGCTGAGGAATCAAACCCAGGGCCTCATGCACGCAAGGCAAGTGCTCTACCACTGAGCCACCTTCCCAGTCCCAGGTGTTCCAGTATTATAACCATGAACCTGAGGCTCATGGGTAGGTAACCTGTGAGAGCCATGAGCGTACTGGGAATACAGACATATTCACAGTATACTAGTTGGATGATTTTTCACAAACTTATAGGTAAGTAGTATTAGAATGTGGAACACATTTTATCATAAGAAGTGTAAATTGGGTCAGGCTTGTTTAATAACTGCTTCTTGGAGTACAATTGTAGCACAAGTTCCAAATGTAGTAATAACGGGAAGAATCTTCCCCTTCCTCATCACCTCCCGAGTCTGACTTCCCTGGACCTCCATATTATCAAGCATTCACCCTGCAGCCTGCAGATGGAGGACCTGAGGCATTTCATTGTTGAGCGAACTTGGGACCTTAGAATAGGGTTTTACAAGGAAAAATGGGAATTGGGCAGGGTGGCTCACAGTGCTGAGGAGATCATGAGGTTGTGGTTTGAAGCTGGCTGGGGCAAAAAATTTGTGAAGTTCCTTCTTAACTATTAAAAAGCTAGGCTTGGGCTGGTTGTCAGTGGTTCACACCTATAATCCTAGCTACTCAGGAGGCTGAGATCTGAGGATTGCGTGGTCTAGGAAAATCCATGAGACTCTTATCTCCAAGTAACAACCAAAAAACCAGAAGTGGTGCTGTGGCTTAAGTGGTAGAGCCCTCCCCTTGAGCTGAAGAGCTGAGGGACAGCGCCCAGGCCCAGAGTTCAAGCCCCACAACTGACCAAAAAAAACCAAAACTGTGAGGCTTGTGGTGTTTGAAGAGTGGCTTAGGGGTTGAGCACCAGCCAATGAAGGAAAGCATTAGATACTGAGTTTGAGTTACAGTCTCAGCAAAAGTAAGCATTAGATACTGAGTTTGAGTTACAGTCTCAGCAAAAGTAACCAAACTGTCCTTTGTGTCATGTGCAGGAAGAGTGTGGTTCATACTGGCGGAGCAAATTGAGCCTGTGTTTAAACAGTAACCAAAGCAAAAAGGTGTAGAATTCCTAGCAGGAATCCTAAGTTCAAACTCAAGTACTACCAAAAAAAAAGAAAAGGAAAACTAACTCCATTTCTGTTTTTTTGGTGGCTAGTTGGAAGTAAGAGTCTCATGGACTTTCCTGTCTTTTAACCACCATCCTCAGATCTCAGCCTTCTGAGTGGCTAGGATTACAGGCATTAGGTACTGATGCTTGGCTGTAATTAATATATTAATAATGGGTTATGAAGGATTTGATGTCACTAATTTTCTTTTTTATTTTGTAGGCCCGTTCATGGATTAATTTTCCTTTTCAAATGGCAGCCAGGAGAAGAACCAGCAGGCTCTGTGGTTCAGGACTCCAGACTTGAAACAATATTTTTTGCCAAGCAGGTATGGTCTCTGTACAGTCTCTAGAGTCCAGGAACATTGTGCTTTTAATGTGGCAGTCCTCAAACTTTTTTGTCTTGAGACTCCTTTATACACTTAGAAATTATTGAGTCAAAGAGCTTTTTATGGGATTATATGTTGATATTTATTATATTAGAAAGTAAAAACTGAAACATTTAAAATATATCAGATGACTTAGACATAGGAACAATAAAGCTTTACACCTTTTTTTTTTTTTTTTTGGTCGGTTGTGGGGCTTGCACTCTGGTCCTGGGCGCTATCCCTCAGCTCTTCAGCTCAAGGCTCTACCACTTGAGCCCTACAGCGCCACTTCCAAAGTTTTACGTCTTACATTAATAGCTTTTTTGTGTGACAAATGAAGGGCCTCATGCATACTAGTCAAGAGCTCTAGCACTATGGTATATCTTGGTGCTAACTATCCCTAAAACAAAAAAGTTGGTGAAAAGGGTAGCTTGTTTTAAATATTTTCAAATCTTTTTCATGTCTGGCTTCATAGTACCCAGCTGGATTCTCCTCTCTGTTTCTTCTTTTCATTTAAAAGAAATCACCTTGGCCACAGAGCAGAGAAGGAAGGTGCTCACTTTCATCATCTTGGATTCTTTTCTACTTGACGCTCCCACAGCAGAGGTGCTGTGGGAGTGTGGAAAAAAGCCATTGCCCATAGTTTCTGCTGCATGATGGCTCCATATGCTGATTCTGGATATCTCAATTTGGATCCTGATCAACTCTTGGTTATATATTTCATGGGAAGCTTCTTAACCTGTCTATACCCCCGTGCCCACAGTATAAAAGAGGATAAGAACTACTCCATCATAGTTTGTGGAGGAACTAAAAGAATTTGTAAAGAGCCTTAGAAAACTACGTGGTCCCTAGCAGATGCTAACAAATGTTTTCTCCTCTAGGTAGAGTATAAGGTTCACTTAGTATGTTAAATGTGCATTTGTAACAGCTGAATGACAGTACTATGTGATAGAGTAAAAACAGTACATGGGCAACAATATACCCCTATTAGATCAAATTAATATGGGTATTGCAGAACCTCTCTGATAGCCACATGTGTGAGCTTGAGCTTGTGCTGGGTACTGAATTAAGGGGTGAATTTCAGAAGGCAGGAATAAGTAGAGGAAGAAGTGAAGAATAGAGGAGGGGGAAGACAAGTTCTTTTTTTTGGGGGGGGGGGAGGAGAGGAGGGGAGGAAAAGGTCGTCCTGGGGCTTGAACTCAGGACCTGGGCACTGTCTCAGAGCTTTTAGCTCAATGCTAGTGCTCTACTACTTGAGCCACAAGGCCACATTCAGCTTTTTGGTGGTTAGTTGGGCTGGCTTTCGTATAGTGATCCTCACGTCTCAGCTTCTGAGTAGCTAGGATTACAGGTGTGACAGTGGCAAGGAAAGGTTCTTTATAACTATGTTTTAGGTTGGGACAGTTGGCCTTTTTTAGCTGGATTGGCTGTCACTAATATTATGGATGACTTAGTTTCTCTTAGTTCCTAAAATGTACAATTCCAGGGAATTGCAACAAATTTCTGAAAACAGACAAGAATAGAAATTAGATGTTTGTTATGTTTAAGACTGATAATTTGAATTAAATATAATAAATTTATCATGTAGGGGTTATTGTCAACAGGTAAAACATTTTTATAAACAAATTCATTGTATTTTCACATGTCTGTTTTGTAGGTAATTAACAATGCATGTGCTACCCAAGCCATCGTGAGTGTGTTACTGAACTGTACCCATCAAGATGTCCATTTAGGAGAGACGTTATCAGAGTTTAAGGAATTTTCACAAAGTTTTGATGCAGCCGTGAGTATGGTCTTTTCTTGATCCTAAAGTGACCTGTGATAGGTCTTGTTTTAATAGACTACTTTTAAAATTGTTTTAGATGAAAGGATTGGCACTGAGCAATTCAGACGTGATTCGACAAGTGCACAACAGTTTTGCCAGGTAAAGACCCCACCCGTATTAAATGTGTGCTCCCCCCCTCGTGTTAATATGTGCTCCTCCCCCCATTAAATATGTGCTCCTCCCTCCCACCTTGTTAAATATGTGCTCCTCTCCCTGCTCCCCCCGTTAAATATGTGCTCCTCCCCCCCATTAAATATGTGCTCCTCCCCCCTCCCGTGTTAAATATGTGCTCCTCCCTCCCACCTTGTTAAGTATGTATGTGCTCCTCTCCCTGCTCCCCCCCATTAAATATGTGCTTCTCTCTCACCCCGTGTTAAATATGTACTCTTCTCTTCTTTATTCTGTTTTACCTAATATTCTTTTCTGATGCTTTATCTCTCTCTGGTTTCTTTACTATAGACAGCAAATGTTTGAATTTGATGCAAAGACATCAGCCAAAGAAGAAGATGCTTTTCACTTTGTCAGTTATGTTCCTGTTAATGGAAGACTGTATGAATTAGATGGATTAAGAGAAGGACCAATTGATTTAGGTAATCTGGTTGTTGCTACTGAGTATTAACTATTATTTTAGCTACAATGTTGCTTAAATTTTAAAGGTGAAAGTTACTATGGGTAGTATAATAGGATGGTCTTAAGCTGCTTACAAAATTAAATAATATATATAGGAAGGACATGTTGACACCTACAAATTGATTGAGGCCTTTAATTTTCACCTGTTTTTAACCCCTGGATCATGTAATACATATTTTCTAGTTAACTTAAAAAACTGTTCTTAGTGGACTTCAGTCCACTTGAACTTATTGATCTTTAACTTATTGATAAGAAATAGCATTTCTTTTTTTTTTTTTTTTTTGGTTGGTCATGGGGCTTGAACTCTGAGCCTGGGCACTGTCCTTCAGCTCAAGGCAAGCACTCTACCACTTTGAGCCACAGTTCTACTTCTGGATTTTTAAGTGGAAAATTGCATATAAGAGTTTCATGGGGGACTTTCCTGCCTTGGCTGGCTTCTAACAATGATCTTCAGATCTCAGCCTTCTGAGTAGCTAGGATTACAAGCATGAGCCACTCACTGGTGTCCAGCTTCTTATCATTTCTTACCATCCCCTTGCATTAGATATTCTCATCCTGGGGCTGGGAAGGTGGCTCAGTGGTAGAGTGCTTGCCTCTCATGCATGAGGCCCTGGGTTCGATTCCTCAGTACCACAAAAGCAGAGAAAGCCAGAAGTGGCTCTGGCTCAAATGGTAGAGCGCTTACTTTGAGCTGAAGAGCTGAGGGACAGCACCCATGTAACAGAGTTCAAGCCCCATGACCACTAAAAAAAAAATTTTTTTTTCATCCCTTGTCTATCAGTTTACTAAATATTTTTGATCAAAATTTTTATTTTAGCGTATTAATGTGCTGTCTTTTGTACCAAGACAAGAATAGATTTCTCATGAACACACTCCATCTTTAACCTTGAGCAAAAATAATAAATGCTTTTTGTGGGTGGGGTTGCAGTCTGTGATTCTGAAATACTACTGAATAAAACCACTGAACAATTTGCGTGTGCCAGGGATCAAGCTGAGGGTTGCATGTGTAAGTGTTGCACTGCTGCACAATACTCCTTACTCCTGCCCGATTTTGAAATTTCTTGATCTTTAAAAAAAAATTAGATTTAATCCAAGAAAATGTGTTTTCATTGAATCTCACATTAAATACTTTGTACTTTTGAGCCCGTGGCTCACTCCTATAATCCTAGCTACTCAAAAATCTGAGATCTGAGGATTGCAGTTCAAAGCCTGCTCAAGCAGGAACATCTGTAAGATTTTTGTCTCCAATAAACTAATCAGAAAAAGCTGGAAGTGGTGCTTTGGCTCAGAGTGGTGGAGTGCCTAGAGCACAAAGAGGCTCAGAAACTGCACCCAGGCCCTAAAAAGTTCATGAGATCTGGGTTCTTTCAGCCCTTGAAAACAACAACAAAATGCTGTTCCTGGGGCCTAGGTACTTTTTTGAGTTTATTTTTTTTGCTCGCTCAAGGCTGGTGCTCTCCCACTAGAGCCACAGCTCCGCTTCTGGCTTTTTTGGTAATTAGAGATAGGAAAATCTCTCAGACATTCTAAGTTTCAAACTAATCTTAAGATCCTAGCCTCCTGAGTAGTTAGCATTTAATGGCTTGAGCTATCAGCACCACTTGTTTGTACATTTAAAATAAAATCCTACATGCAGAATCCATTGTCTTGTGCAGATTTGTGTGCTATTTGCTTAAAATATTTATCTTTGTGTCTAAGACTCTTCTTTATTATTATTATTATTATTTTGGTCGGTGGTGGAGCCGGCTTGAACTCTGGGCTTGGGCTCTGTCCCTGTGCCCTTCAGCTCAAGGTAAGCCCTCTACTGCTTGAACCACAGTGCCACTTCTGGTTTTCTAGTGGTTTATTGGAGATAAACGTCTCATGGACTTTGGACTTTTCCTGCTGGCTTTGAACTGTGATCCTCAGATCTCAGCCTCTTGAGTAGCTAGGATTACAGGCACGAGCCACCGGTGCCCAGCTGACATTTATTTTTATGTGTCTGAAAATAAGTAGACTGTTTCCTTAATTTTGTTACAGTTACATTGGTCTGATTTCTGCATGTTTTCTGCTGACTTCTTTCTGGTCAGCCATTCTTACTTCATTAGAATCATAAAACATGGAAGAAGTGAAAAAACAGCAGCCAGTTTACTGCAACTGTGCCATGATTTCTTGCAAAAAAAAGTTAAGACATTTGAGTAGAATTGGTCTTACACTATGGGTGGATTCTCCCTATCTCAGATAGGAACTTGCTTTCAGTGTCTGCCTCTTTCACTCATTGGTGTGGCTCTGTTTCCTGAGCCATGCCTCTAACCTCATCTTTTTCATTTTCTTAAAAAAAAAAAAACAGTTATGATTGTGGAAAGGCAGATATAAGAAATTTATTTTCTATTAATTATTGCTTTTTTTTTTCCAAGCCTTAAGTCTTATCATTTGTAAAAGCAAGGTCTGTAACAGAGTTGAGGGTTTAAATGAGAGAAGTTTCTCTTAAATATTCGTTTTGTGTCACGATAACATGACAATGCAAGTTATGATAATACTCTTTCCTGACTGTTGAAGGCATGGTGACTCAGGCTTGCAATCTCAGCACCTGGGAGCCAGACAAAACAAGTGTGAGGCCGGCCTGGGAGACTCACAGGACCCTCTCTGAAAATGAAAAGGGAAAGAAAAGACTTAGTATATCTTGAATTTGCTAAAGTATTTATAAAGCATATTTTAGATGAAACTTTTGAGAGAATGTTAATATTGCTTTTTGCTAATTTTGTTTTAACATTGTTCTTACATTTCTTTCTAGGTGCATGTAATCAAGATGACTGGATTAGCGCAGTAAGGCCCGTCATAGAAAAAAGAATACAAAAGTAAATGATCTAATACTACTGGCTTAACATTCTGCTTTTTAAGTTTGTTTTTGTTTTTACTTGATTTTTTAACAGTGTCTTTGATCATATACTTGATTTGACTAATTCATTTAGGAAATCTATTCAAGAAAACCACTAATTCACTTAGAAATGTTTCATCTTGCTGGGCATGGTGATATATACTATAATGTCAACATTCAGGAGGCTGAGGATATCAAATTGGAGGATGTTCTGAGGGATTGTGAACCTGAGACCAGTCTGGGTTATATACAGGAGATGTGGACACTTTTCTGCTCAGGCCGCCTTCAAGTAATGATCTTCCAGGTCTTAGCCTCGTGAGTTGCTAGGATTATAAGTCACTGATGGCCTGCTCATTGGTTTTTTAGCTATTGAAACCCTTGTGTTCTTTTTATACTTTAGATGATAGTTCCTGGTCAGACTCATGGCCTCCAGCTATTCTCCTCTAGGCCAACATGTTCTCTCATGAGTGAGAAGTCTTAGTCCTAAGGAATTCCACTTTATCAGCATTTCCCATTTATTCTTGGTGCTTTTGTAGTCACATGCTGGCCTAAATGATATTTTTCTGTTTCCTTGTTGGTTGGCTGGTAGTGGGATTTCCATAAAAGTTTTTATGTTTAAGTCTGATAAGTTTTGAAGGTGTTTCTGTTTTTTAGTCTGTCATGGGGCTTGAACTCTGGACCTGAGCGCTGTCCCTGATCTCTTCAGCCCAAGGCTAGCATTCTACCACTTGTACCACAGCTCCACTTCTGGTTTTCTGGTGGTTAATTGGTGATAACAGTCTCATGGCCTTTCTTGCCTGGGCTGGCTTTGAACCATGATCCTCAGATCTCATCTTCCTGAGTAGCTAGAATTATAGGCAAGAGTCACCGGCACCCAGCTTTAAGTAATTTTTACATGTAATTTGTATATATAATGTTTGTTTTTGTTTTTACATATTCATTATTTCAGTCACTGTTTAAAAGCTTCCCATCCTCAAGTGAATTCTGAAAGCTTTGTTAGAGAAAAACAGGGCTTGCTTGGGTGATTCTTTTTCTGGGTTCACTATTTCTTTTTAATTTATTATTTCTTGTCTTTCTACCAGTGGTATACTATAGTGAGTAAATCTCAACATGAGGTAGACTGGAGAACTCCATTTCTTTCTTCAAATTTATTTTAGTTATCACTAACTTGAACATAAAGTTAATATAAACTTAGTGGTTACATATAGTAGTTTAATTTTGCCCTTTATTTTCTTTTTTCTTTTCCACTTCTCTTTTCTTCTTCCCATTTCTCTGTAAGTTACTCCAACTTTCTTTTTTATTTTTATTTTTTGGGTCCGGTCATGGGACCTGATGGGAGCCTGGGTGCTGTCCCTCAGCTCTTCAGTTCAAGGCTAGTGCTCCTCTACCACTTGAGCCACAGCGCCACTTCCGGCTTTTTTCTTTTTGCTTATGTGGTGCTGAGGAATCGAACCCAGGGCCTCAGTCATGCAAGGCAAGCACTCTACCACTGAGCCACCTTCCCAGCCCTAAAAATCCTATCTTTATGTGCAGTAGTTTTTAGTGTTTTTTTTTTGAGGATTCTCAAGCATACCAGAGTTAATATCTTAACAGTTTCAGAGTAATGAGTAAAGCCTTCTTTCCCTGTTAAAACACAATTGTGTTTGTGATTTCTCTGTATTTTATGAGAACATCAAATAATACAGTTTTTGCTTCAGTCATGAAACAGTTTTGGAAACCTAAAGAGGACACATACTGTTATTTATCTATACTTTCACTCTTTCCTAGTGTTCTAGAACTTTTGATAATTTTCTTTCTGTTTAGAAGCCTCTGTTAAGTATGATTTAGCACAGGTCCTCCGGGAACAGAGTTCTTACTTTTCTTCATCTGCAGACCCTGAGTTCTCCTTCCTCCCTGAAAGGTATTTTCAGGGGATGTGGAGTCAAGCTAGACAGTCTTTCTTGCAACACAGGAAGAAAGTTCTCCTTCCTTCTGTCATCATTGTTTCTGAAAATAAGCTTCTGTCTTCTTCCTGTACATGTGATGTTTCTCATGCTGTTCTAAGAACTTTTTTGTTTTAAATACCTTTCCTGGGTGCTGTCCTGGAGCTTTTGTGCCTAAGGCTGGCTCTCTACCACTTAAATCACAGCTCCCCTTTTGGCTTTTTGCTTGTTAATTGAAGATAAGAGTCTCGTGGACTTTTCTGAAAAGCCTGGCTGCCTTTGAACCTAGTTCTTCAAACCTCAGTCCTCCTGAGTAGCTAGCTAGGATTATAGGCGTAAGCCACTCGCACTCAGCAAGAATTTTTTCATCTTTAGTTTTCGAAAGTTTGACTATGATATTTATCAAAATGAACTCCAGGAAATAGAAATGAGATTTTTTTTCTCGGTTAAAAAATATATATCTAGAAAAAAAAAGTTTGACTCTGATGTTTCTTACTGAGAATTTCTTTACATTCCTTCTGTTTGGATCCTGCTTACCTTCTTAAACCCCTAGAGTGCTTTATCCCATGAAATTTGGAAAGTTGTCAGTCACTACATTGTTTTGTTTGTGCCAACACTAGGACTTGAGCTCAGGGCCTGAGTACTATCTCAAGGCCAGTGCTCAGCTACTTGGGCCAATACCTCCACTTCTAGCAATTTGCTGGTTAATTAGAGATAAGAGTGCCAGAGACTTTCCTGACCTGTATGGCTTTAAATGCTGATCCTCAGATCTTCTTAGTAGCTAGGATTACACACGTGAACCACCATTGCTTGATTTGGAATGTGTGTGTGTGTGTGTGTGTGTGTGTGTGTGTGCAGTAAGTGTGTGTGCTTGTGCTGTGTGCATGCCATGCACATGTGCGTATGCATGTGTATGTGTGCATTGCTGGTTCTTGAACTTGATTTCAGGGCCTGGACACTTTACCTGCCCTTTCTGTACTCACAGCTCTAATACTCCATCATGTGAGCAACAGCTCCACTTCTGGCTTTTGGTGGTTATTTGGTGATATGAGTGTCGTGAGCTTTTCTGCCTGGCTGGCTTTGCACTGCGTCCTCACATCTCAGTTTCCTAAGTAACTAGGATTACAGCTGTACCATACCAGTGCCCTGCTGGAATACTTTTTTTTTTTTTGGCTGGTCCGGGGTTTGAAATCTAGGCCTGGCCTCTGTCTCTGAGCTTCTTTTTGCTCAAGGCTAGTGCCTACACAGCACTGCTTCTGCCTTTTTCTGAGTAGTTTATTGGAGATAAGAGTCTCATGGACTTTTCTGCCCAGGTTGGCTTTGAACTGTGATCCTCAGATCTCAGCCTCCTGTAGCTCGGATTACAGGCATGAGCCACCAGTGCCCAGCTGTAATACATGTTTAACTTTACCCTTTTTCTTTGTCTACCGGACTCCAGGGACTCAGATTCACACACACACACACACACGTATATATATATTTCCATTTCTGAGCTTCTGTTAGTTTTTTCAGTCTGTTTTCAGAATGGGTGCTTGCTGTTTTTCTGCTTTCAAGTTCATTGCCCTTCATTCTGTCCCTTCCCTTTTGCTGATGTGTCCATCATTGGGTCTTTCACTTACCATATGCCTGGGTTGTAGTATTTCCATTTGGCTCTTTTGTGTCTTGTTTCTTTGCTGAGATGTTCTCATGATTGCACATTAGGTTATTTTAACCAGACTCCTAAAACATTGGCCAACAATTCTCTGCTCTCTTAATATTAAGTGGGTTTTTTTTCTCTTCTTTTTACATTGAAGATTGTCATCATTTTATCTTATTATTTTTTTGGGTCCGGTCGTGGGACCTGAACTCTGGGCCTGGGCGCTGTCCCTCAGCTCTTCAGCTCAAAGCTAGTGCTCTATCACTTGAGCCACAGCGCCACTTCTGGCTTTTTTCTTTCTGCTTATGTGGTGCTGAAGAATCGAACCCAGGGCCTCATGCATGCAAGGCAAGCGCTCTACCACTGAGCCACCTTCCCAGCCCTGTCATCGTTTTAATATGAGGAGCAGTTACTGGCCAAACCTGGACATTGGGTAATTATTATACAATGAGACTCTGAATCTCACAAGTTCTGCTCTGTGTTTATGAACACTGTTCTCGCAGTGTAAACTGCGGTTGGGGGTGCCACCCCATGATTGCCAGTCAGGATCAGAAGTTCAGGTTTCGTACAGGACTTTGTTAATACTTGAGGAAAGAGGTTTTCTCTGGATGCTGGTCATCAGTGGGTTATGGCCTTGAGCAGGGCCTCTGCAGATGCCAGTAGGCTGGGCAGTAGAGTGCCACGGCCTCCCGATGGCACCATGTGCCGTGCTGTCGTGCTCTGCATGGCTTCCACTCCAGGTGCTGATGGGGAGACTTTGCCGTTTATCACTTAGTGTCTTCAGATACTGCAAATGGGTACTGTTCTTAACACCTAGCATTGACAGAGACCCAGCTCATTGTTCGGTTCTCGTCCAGGTAGGAAGGGAGGCTACTCTCTTTCCACTGTTGGTATTCTTGGTGTGGTCACAGATGTTTTTATTTGTTAGTTTGTTGGACTACAATAACACAACTATTGCTAAGTTTTCTGCTGTTCCTGTTTGACTAGATTTCCATTAGTGTCTCTTAGTCTGTCAATTGCATGTCTGAGTTGCTGGCTTCTTCAGCTACAAGTCTGGGGTGTATGTGGCAGAAAGAAACTCTGAATCCATCTTCTGTCACATGGAGGTTTTAAGTTTCTCACTGTTGGCATCTGTCTGTTATTGGTACAGTCAACCAGGGCTTTTAGTTGTGCTTACTGGGATTGCCAGAAGTCCTGTAAGTAGAACTTGGAGAAACATATGTATAGAGTTTAAAGCTATAGTTACACCGTACCATGTTTTCCCAGTAATTAGGTTGGCAAGAAACTCTTGGAGAGAAACTTAATGCAAGAAAAGGGGGTTACATCTTTGATATGTTCTCATCCATATTTTATGGATAATTTTCTCAATTCCAGTTCCTAACATAAATAAGCTTTCCCAGTTAGAGGTTCTTCTGGTTTAAGAGTATTGAAAAACAAATTGTATTGTAGAATTTTACTGCCGTTTATAATGATAAATCATGTAAATTTATATAATTTTTATGCATCTATAAGATATATAAATAAGTATATTAAATAAGAATAGAAACTACATAATTTGGAATAATACTGTATATCAGTATATTAGTGCACTATAATTAGAGAACCTGTTTAGACCAGCCCAAGGCCTGGAGTCCAATCCAAAAGACAAACAAGCAGAAACTAGTATAATCACCCCCGAAATGTGGGATCTTAGTTACTGAGACCTAATAAATTTTGTATTTCTAATAAAGTTAGGGAAATACAATGGAAATGTTATTTAAATTTGTCATTTTAAGTGGAACTAGCATTGTTTTAGTGTATTTAAAAATAGTTGTGAGGATAAAATTTAAATTTTTTGCCATAGTTATATCTCATACACAAACCTTAAAAAAATCAATTTTTATTGTGAGCCAATTGATAGATTTTTGTTTGTCCCAAAGAATTATATGGTAATCACTGAGTTATAACGATGACTCTAATTTTGTTACATTATAAATTTTAAAATAACTTTTTTCTAGGTATAGTGAAGGAGAGATTCGCTTTAACTTAATGGCCATTGTGTCCGACAGAAAAATGATATATGAACAGAAGATAGCAGAGTTACAAAGACAACTTGCAGAGGTTTGTGACCATGTTTTATTTGTTACAATGTTGTAGATTATTCTCCTGGGGAAGGTATTTGCTTTCTTCTGTTTTTTTATAGCAATTTTTTATTGTGATTAAGTGATTACATAAATTTCATAAATTTCACAGTATTTTGCAATAGTGATACTTAGTTAAAGTCACAAACACATTCTAACCTTCATGGGGCAAATTGTCTTTATTGTGGTCTATAAAGTTTATGAGTTCTATAAGCTTTGACAATACAGTTATTTCTTCCACGTCGGTGATGTATTCATGTCTTTCCTTTTGCATAGTGTCAGCTGTTCCCTCTTTCCCGCTCATTCCCTCCCTCCCATCGCTGCCCTTGCGTTGCTTAGCTTGTTTTGATCAGTGACCAGTGCAGCTGATGGGTCCCGCTGTTGTATGCTTTCCCTTGATTCCCTCTGTTTCTGTGTCCTCCTGGTTTCCCTCTCATGTTTGTTTCTTGAGTCTCATTTACTTTGTCATACCTCCTTATATTTTGGATTTAACATCTACTTATCAGGGAGACCATGTGCTTTTTGTCTCTTTGCTCTTGGCTTACCTCACTCTACATGATTTATTCTAGTTCCATCCATTTCCCTGTGAATGCCATTATTTTGTCCTTTCAAATGGCTACATATTCCATTGTGTATAGGTACCACAATTTTTGGATTCATTCATCTGTAGTGGGGCTTGTTTCTATATCCTGGCTATTGTGAACAGTGCTGCAATAAATATAGAGGTGCATGTGTCCTTGTATCCTGGTTCCTGTTGTTCAGGATAGATGCCTAGGAGTGGTATGGCTGGGTCATAGGGAATCTTTTTCTATTTTTTTAATGGTTTTTATTGTGAAAATACTGTACAGAGGGGTTACAGTTACATGAGCAAGGTCATGATCTTTTTCTGTTTTTTAAACAGTAGAACAAGGTTGGGATTTGGGCTTGCCTAGATTTGGAATCTTGCTTTGCCACTTTTTGTTTCTCAGCTTCTTGTGGTATGAGGCGAGTTGCAGTTACTGCTCAGGTCATGGAGGGCGAAGGAGACAGTGTACAGAAATCTTGCATGCAAACTACTTACCACAGTGATAGGCAAATGCTAAACGAGGATTAACAATGAACTGTTCTTGTGCTAAACAAGTTAGAACATAAGTCTCAGAGTTCACTGGGTGTATTTACATTTATGTGGAATCTGTATGGTTACTTTTATGGTTACCTTTCTGTAGTAAATATGATTGGAAAGGAAAATTAATAGTAGAACAGGGTTTGCGAAGGTGGCTCAATGGTAGAATGCTTGGCTTGCATGTATGAGGCCCTGGGTTCAATTCCTCAGCACCACATAAGCACAAAAAGCCAGAAGTGGTGCTGCGGCTCAAGTGGTAGAGTGCTAACCTTGAGCTGAAGAGCTGAGGGACAGTGCCCAGGCCCAGAGTTCAAGCCCCACAACCGACAAAAAAAAGAACAAAGTCTTGCCTTCGATTACATATCTTAAGAATTCCAAAATTTACTTTGTAGCATAATAAAGGACTATAGCAACATTGTATGTTATAGTCCAGTATATTTGAGGTGAAAGATCCATTCACACTATTCCAGAAATGTGGAAAGCTCTATTTAGGACTTGATCTTTTAATTTTGCTATCACTAGACTGAAACTCTCTCTCTAACCTGAAGAGTAAGGGATTTGAAAAGTAGTTGATCACGGTCAGCCATGTAAGTGTTCTGGTCGTAAGCTCAGTCATTAGGGTGTACCATTTCCTTTTTCCCAAGGAGGAACCTATGGAGACTGATGAGGGCAGCAGTATGTTAAGTGCTATTCAGTCAGAGGTGGCCAGGAATCAGATGCTTATTGAAGAAGAAGTACAAAAATTAAAGAGATACAAGGTATGATTTAAAAACTACATTCCTCTAATGTTTATTAAAAGTACTGTGGTTTGTGATAAGGTTTGCTGAATGCCTGATGGCTTTTCCTCCCATCATTTACCAATTTTCAGAATAATATGTTGATTTTCTAACACCCTACAAAGATCAGTCATGTGGTTTCTTCAAAATAATTTTTTGAGCTGGGGGCTGGTGGCTCACACCTGTAGTCCTGAGTACTCGGGAGGCCAAGATCTGAGGCTCATGCAGCGCCGGCAGGAAAGTCCATGAGACACTTCTTTCCAATTAATCACCGAAAATCTGAAAGTGGAGCTGTGGCTAAAGTGGTAAGAAGGCTAGCCTTGAGCACAAAAATAAAGGTAGACCTAGGCCCTAGCATGCTGGCTGGGCTTAAACATGTTTTTAAAAGCCCCACAAAACTGTCCTCATGAGCTTTAGCTTTCTGTGGTTATTTTTCCTGTGGATGTCAGATCACCCCATCTTCAATCCATTAGGAACTTTAGGCTATCTCTGAAGGGCCCCCCCCCCCCCCCCATCACCAATGCCAGTGATTGAACTCAGTGAGTGCCTTGCAATCACTGGTTTTTCTTGTCCACAGTTGGTATTCTACCACTTGAGCCACAGCTCAGCCCAGCTTTTTGCTGGTTAATTGGAGGGGACTCATGGACCCTCATTCCTTGGGCTGCCTTCAAATGATTGATCTTCCATGCCCGACCCTCACTAGTAGCTAGGAATACAGGAGTGAGCCACCCAGGCCCACCTCTCAAGCCTTCATTGTCAGCTGGAACACCTGTTCTCAAGCCTTTTTTTTTTCATGTAACAAGATGTTTTGGACTCTTGTATATTTCATGCTTCAGATTGAAATCATCCATTTTTTTCTCACAAGTTCTGAGTTTTCACAGTGGAAGTGGTATTTCAAAGTCACTATCTGAAGCCTTTGACCTCAGCTGACTTCGGAGGCAGAGAGTGGGAGATTGTAATCAGCATCAGCCCAGCCAGGTGTCAGTGGCCCACGCCTATAATCCTAGTTACTTAGGCTGGGATCTAAGGCTTGTAGTTTGAAGCCAGCCTAAGCAGGAAAGTCAATGAGACTCTCATCTCTAGTTTATAACTAGAAAACCAGCAGTCAGGAATAAAATGTAAATTCTTTTCAGAATCTGATCAACTGTCCAAATGTTTAGTAAAGCTCTGTTCTAAAATAAGGGTAAAATGGTTCTCATACTGACATAAATTAACATGCTAAGATTAACTTAATGAGCTGGGAATGTGGCTTAGTGGGTGAAGTGCTGCTTGCCTGGCATGCATGAAGCCCTGGGTTCCATTCCTCAGTACCACATAAACAGAAAAGACTGGAATTGATTCTGTGACTCAAGTGGTAGAGTGCTAGCTTTGAGCAAAAGAAACTCAGGGACAGCACCCAGGCCTTGAGTTCATGCCCCAGGACTGACAAAAAAGAAAAAATTTAACTACTTAGCCATCCCAGTGCCTCATGCCTATAATCCAAGTTACTTAGGAGGCTGAGATCTGAGCATCAGGGAGTGAAAACAGCCTAAGCAGACAAATTTGAGACACTCTTATTTTTAGTTAACTAGCACAAGAGCTGGAAGTGAAGTAGTGGTCGATTGCCAGCCTTGAGTGGAAAAAGCTAAGTGAGAATGTGAGGCCTTGAGGTTTTCCTGTTTGGACCGGCTTCAAACCTTGATTCTCAGATCTTAGCTTCCTCTGTATTGAGGATTATAGGCCTCAGACAGTAGTAATACCGAGTTTACAATTGGTAGTTTTATAACTAGCCTTAGATTGCACATTTAACAGCCTCTGTTAAGCTGAAGGCAGGAAGCCACAGCCAACAAAGTCACCACATTGTTTTCTTTTTCTTATGTAGTCCATTTCTGTTTTAAATTAGATGCTAAGACTGTCAGAAAATTAGCAGAAATGTAATTAGTGTAATCTGACGTGTTTTATTTTCAGATTGAAAATATCCGAAGGAAGCATAATTATCTGCCCTTTATTATGGAATTGCTAAAGACATTAGCAGAGCACCAGCAGTTGATACCACTTGTAGAAAAGGTAAGTATTTTAATAGTAATGAGTAACTAACATTTTTCTTTTTGCATAAGTTGAGATAAAATTTCTTGAAGCATTTTTAGTTTTTTTCTGTAGCATTTACCTATTTTTTATATTCTATGACAGTTAGTTTGGCTTAATACTATGCAATAAAAGAGTTGCCCAACAATATTATTATCAAACTAAAATTTAAAACACTGTTCTTTATTTGAGCAAAACCTATTGTAGATAATGTAGATAATAGAGTTTTTCATGTCTAATTTGGCATGTATTACATTTAATTAATATCATAGAGTTGTTTTTATGTTTAATATAGTTTGGAACTGCCATGGACATGATAAGAGGTCACAGGATGGTCTGGACTGAGGAATAGTCCTCTTACTGTCCTGTCTATGAGGCTAACAGCCAGTGAAAAAATGAGTTCTAAGATTTTTTTTTTTTTTGGGTCCGGTCGTGGGGCCTGAACTCTGGGCCTGGACGCTATCCCTCAGCTCTTCAGCTCAAAAGCTCTACCACTTGAGCCACAGTGCCACTTCCGGCTTTTTTCTTTCTGCTTATGTGGTGCTAAGGAATCGAACCCAGGGCCTCATGCGTGCAAGGCAAGCGCTCTACTACCACTGAAACACCTTCCCAGCCCGAGTTCTAAGATTTTTTTTCATCAATAGAAGGAACTTAATAAAATATTTGTATAATAAATGAAATGCAGTTAAATTGTTTTAAAGTTTATACTGTAAATCAGCATTTCTGAAAATGACCATCACTGGGTACTCTTTAAAATACCTGTTACCTGGCCCCTCCCCAGATATTCTGATATTAAAGGAATCTTTAATAAGTTCCCCAAGTGATTCTAATACAGCTGATCTGAGTACCACATTTTGAGCAACACTTTGAGAAGACACTACTAGGCAAATAACATTCTGGACCATTAATTTAAAGACCAGAACAAAATGGTAGGTATATTTTCCTTACTAATTTTTAAAGTATACAAATTGAAGTATGTGTCAGTCTTAGCCGTTTCGTATGATCAGTTGCAACTAATATGAGATTTGAGATCTTCACGATTTTTCTATTACCTGTATCATGTGTTCCAACTTTTAGCAGTAGATTAAAAAATTATTTTGGGTTATTATTAAGTCTTCTCTTTCTCCCATGGTCTTCCTGTTTATGTGTCTCAGAGCATTCCAAGATGGGAAACTGACTTAAGGTTTTAAATGAATAGTTTAGGCTCCTGTGGTTCTCAGACTTGCATGGTTAAAGTGCTCTTTATATGAAACACCATGGAAAATAACGTATCATCTGAAGAATTGATTGGAATCGGATTTAAATTTATATAAGTCTGATAAGGTGTCAGTGACATTGTAGTTTTTTGCCTTAAGGTTTGTCCTTGATACAATTTTTCTTGTGCAATTTAGAAAAAAAATTTAATTTTTCATGACAGTGTCTGCCTCAGTATTTGTTTGTTTGTTGGTCATGGGTCTTGAAACTTGGGGCCTGGGCACTGTCCCTGAGCTCTTTTGCTCAGTCTATTACTAGCAATCTACTTCTTGGAGCCACAGCTCCACTTCTGGTTTGCTGGTTAACTAGAGATGAGTCTCATGGACTTTCCTGTCCAGGCTGGCTTTGAAACTCAGTCTTTAAATCTCAGCTTCCTGAGTAGCTGCATCAGCTGTAGGCACTCAATGTTACCCCAATATTTTGAGAGCATTCAGAGCAACAGTTTTTCAACTTTGTGATAGAACCATAATTCATGGGTCACATCACCTTGGAGATGAGGTGGCAGTGTATGATAACAAATGTTACTGAGACACCAACTCCATTTGTTCTGTTTGCTTTTTTTTTTGAGGAAGTACTAGTTGACTTAATTTTGTCCATTTCTGGAAACCATTCTGTAACAAGTGATATTGAGACACACTAAATCCTTGTATATCTGCAGTATCTACTATTCCTCCCAGGCTCTGAAGAAATAGAGACTCATCATTAGGTTGGAATTCTTGAAGTATTTTTAGTTGTTCATCAAAGATACAGCTGCAACCATATTGTAGTCAGTGAGGATATCTCTAGGGTATGATCTGAATTCCTTTGCTGGAAGGCACTTTTTTCCCTCTGGTTACTTTTCAGATAGGGCCTCACTTCCTGCCCAATCACTTGGACCGACTATGCCCATTTCTGGCTTTCCTTCACAGCTAGAATAACAGGCCCACAACTTTTAACATGTAGAAGATGGTATGTTTTTCATGCTGTTTAGAAATAAGGTAATATTTTTCATTTTTTAGCAAGGACGGAACAGCATTGAGGTTCTGAGTTTATTTTAAGGCAAGTTATTTGTGATTGTCTCCTTGGTACTGACAATCGAATTATACCTGCCGAACTTTCTGGGTGGCTGAATGAGATCCAGTTTATAAATGTGGGAACGGTCTGTCATGTGGCATTACCTATGACTTGTTTTATGTACCCTTTGAGTGTATCTACATTATGCAATTTAATATATGAGTATTTTTTTATACTTGTTCATTCTCTAAAGTCGTTATAACATAAACCAATAAATTTATTTTTGTAAATTTCTACTAGACATTCTGTTAAGTATAATTTAGAGTTCAAAAGAAAAGAAATACATGCATTTATTTCAAAGTATGCTTGAAAATATTTTCATTATTTTAAAATAGGGAACTTGTCTGGGCATGATGACTTTTTTCCATTTTCTTTTTCTTTTTTTTTTTTATGGTGTGGGTCCTGGGGCTTGAACTCAGGGTCTAGGCACGGTCCCTGAGCTTTTTTGCTCAAAGCTGGTAGTACTCTACCACTTGAGCTACAGCTCTGCTTCTGTTGTTTTGGTGGTTGATTGGAGATAAAAGTTTCATGGACTTTTCCTGTCCAGCCTGGCTTTGAACCAGGATCTTTAGATCTCAGCCTCCTGAGTAGGATTACAGGGGTGTGTCCCTAGTGCCTCAGCTTCCCCCCCCCCCTTTTTAATCGATGGCAAATCTTTCAGTTTTAAATTGTATGATAGCAAACACCCCTCCCCAAAGACCAGCATAGCTGGCATCAGCTGGCGTTGGTTGGGGCTGCGCAGCTCAGGTGTGCTGACTTGAGTTGTCTTACCGAGCGTGCCTAGCTCATGGTATAGACACTGAAAATGCAGCACCGCTGTAGACTGTGGTCTTGGACTTCTGTTGGAGTTGTACTGTAACTAACTTGGCCAAGTTGGGTCACACGAATGGGCCCTTGTTTCCTCATTTGCTGCAGAATAAGTGAGAAATCAGCCACATTAGAGTTATGGGCATCAGGTAAAATGATGAGAGAACCCATTTTGAGGTAATACCAGTAAAGCATGAAAGACACCACAGGTACACATGGTACATGGTCCTTCGGTGATGGTACTAAATTCACTTAAACTGTTGGGTTAAACTCATTGATTGAAATACGCAGCAGTAATGTAGGATTATTTCCTCTGAATACCTGGGCCTTCCCGAAGCCCAGCCAGCATAGAATGCCCTCAGCACATCTTATTTTAGTATGCTCTAAAACCGACAAGATTTTATAATACACTACCTTCAATCATTAGGCAAAAGAAAAACAGAACGCAAAGAAAGCTCAGGAAGCCAAATGAAGCCGGTGCGTTGGGGTGTGGACACTGCCCTGTGCTGCTGTCATGGAGAGGTTGAAGGGACTTGGAGCCACATCCTGAAGGACTAGCGCACGTCTGCAGCAGCAGCAGCGGCGACTTGTCTTTAATGCATGGATTCCAAACTCCCTGCCTGCATCTTCGGAATAAAATGCTGTCATGAGTGCTTGCTCACATTCCTTCTTTGACATTGGGTCTGGACATACGGAACTGCAGTCATGAACGTAGCAGATCTTCAAATCATACTCTCTACCTGTAATCGTTCTAATGAAACCTCTTGATGTATTGGTTTAAGTATTTCTAATTATAAATGACAGGTCTTAATTAAACCAGATCACTTAAGAGAAAAAAATTAATTTCTGTCATATATGTTTTGAGAACCTTAAAGCTGGATTTTATCTCATACTGATTATTTGATGTTCATGTAAACCATCGTAAAAAAAACTAAAGTACTATTTCTAGTTATTTTTTAACTGCTGCCCGTTTTATCGTAGCAACCTTTCTTCAAATGTTTGGGGTTGTTTTGTTGTGGAACTGTTTGAGGAAGTCTGAATATTATCACATTTCAGGTTAAGAACACATTGTAGGCTGGAGGTTGGAGACTCCAAGTTAAAACCCTAGTATTGCCCCCCCCCCCCCAAAAAAAAATGTGTTACTCTCAATTTGGCAACTTTTTCAAACTGTTCTTTATTGAAAATAATCCTGACCATAGGTCAGCTTAGTGCTTCAGAAAGGAAGGTGGCAGCCGCAGTAGAGAATACTTTTACCCTATTTGAATAAGTTTACTTCAGCCTCTGTTTCCCTGAGCCGTGGACAATTTGCATATAACAGATTTTTTTTTCCCCTTGACTTACTGTGATTCTTGCTCATATTTCCCCCGAGTTAAACTTTAAAGGGAAGTTATAAATTTTTTTGGGGGGGGTATGAGGCTTGAACTCTGGGCTGGGCCTGTCCCTCAGCTCTTCAGCTCTAAGGCTCGCGCTCTACCACTTGAGCCACAGCGCCACTTCCAGCTTTTTCTGCTTATGTGGTAGCGAGGAATCCAACCCCACGCCTCATGCATGCAAGGCAAGCACTCTACCACTGAGCCACCTTCCCAGCCCCTATAAAACTTCTTTCTATAAAGAAAATAACCTGTTTTGTCAAGCACATTTTGGGGGCTGACCCATGACTTTTAAACATTTATTATAGAGTGTAATTCATTTTATTGACTGAATTCTGCTCTTCCCCTCTTCCAGCATCACATGAATTTCGTAGGGTTATTTTAAGCTTATTAATCATGGTACTGTTAAATTGCTCAGCACTCCTGAGTGGGGAATCAGTGAGATATTGCTCCTCTGTAATTGCAGTTGCAAGTAAGAATCTGTGGGTTCCCATTTGTTGGGTGGATATATTTTCCTTATTCTAAAAGTGATGATAGATGTTTCAAAGCTGTGATATTACAGTTTAAATTTTAAGTAAGGATTATCTTGGATTAATTGAGACTCACCACTTCTGTGCTTAAACTTCCTAAAGCAATAACAAGGCAGGATCGTTGTGGAGTAGTAAGCAACAATTACATGAGTAGAACAGGAGAGAGCGCCTGAAGCCAGGTTCCTATATTCCTGATGATTTGTGAGAGAGGTGGCAGACAAGTAACACTTGCAAGCACAGGAGCCAGAGGAGAGAAATGTAACAGGAGAGTAGCCAAGCATCAAAGGGAGAAAGTTTGTAGCAGCTAAGGAGGAAAAAGATGTTTTGCAGAAAACAGGTGAAAATCTGTTTCCATCACAGAAAGCAATAACCATAAAAGATAATCAGAACAAAAATCTTGTCATAAAGACACAATTAAGAGCAGTATCAAATGACACTTTATAAAACTAGCTTATGAGGTATAAGGATTTGTCTTCATCTAATTCTGGTGAAATTCTTTGATAGGCATTTCCATACTGTAAGAATGGCTTATTTTGTCTGCAGCTTCTTTGATGATTACAAATGCTTTGTGACACTTGAAATCATTTCTGCTAGTGAATAAAGACCTATGACTTGTCCTTGTCTTGGTTCATATATTGTTGCTTTGAAATGTCATTAAGCTAGTTCTGGATATATAAAAAGGATGATGGAAAAGCAATCTAGAAATACATGTTTAGTGGATGGTTTTGAGGGGATTATTCGAAGAAAACTTGTTTCATTTTTGCCTTTTCTAGAATATCATGACTGGGTAGATGAAGACTATTCAGTTTTATGCTTTTTTTTTTTTTTTTTAAAACAACCAATTCTATGGCCAGTCTTGTGCAGTTGTACATGAAGGCCTGCCCACATTGTAGTGCCAGCTAATAGCTCCTGCTAGCCTGAGGTACATCCTCTTTTCCCAGCAGAGAGCAGTCAGCTCACCAGGTCGGATGGTTGATTGGGTCATGAGACTGTTAAGACACAGTGCTGTGAAAACTTTTTTTTTTTTTGTCAGTCGTGGGGCTTGAACTCTGGGCCTGGACGCTGTCCCTCAGCTCTTCAGCTCAAGGCAAGCGCTCTACCACTTCAGCCACAGTGCCACTTCTGGTTTTCTAGGGGTTCATTGGAGACAAGAGTCGCATGGACTTTCCTGCCCGGGCTGGCTTTGAACCGCAATCCTCAGATCTCAGCCTCCTAAGTAGCTAGGATTACAGGCGTGAGCCACCAGCGCCCGGCTATGTGAAAACATTTTTTATGTGTTGATCAGTGCCTTTTTTTGGAGGTCAAGGGCTTGAACTAAGTGCCTGCTCACTCTCCCTGAGCTCTTTTGCTCAAGGCTAGTGTTCTACCACTTTGAGCCACAGTACCACTTCCCAGTTTCTGGTGGTTAATTGGAGATGAGTGCCTCATGGATTTTCTTGCCTGGGCTGGCTTTGAACTGTGACCCTCAGATCTCAGCCTCCTGAGTAGTTAGGATTATAGGTGTGAATTACTAGTGCCTGGTTTGATCAGTGCCTTTAATTAATCCTAATAACCCATTGCTAGCTATAATCAGAATTGTTTTCACAAAGGAAGCTTTCATTCTTGTCTGATAAGAATGAGGATTTAAATTATTCCCTTCCTAGAAACAATTAGAAATGTAACATGTCTGATTTTTACTACCCATAGTTCACCAGGGTGAGGTGGCAAGAACATTGTGTATTTAGTGATCCTTTTCCCTGTGTACTGCTGTGCTCTTTTAAGTCCTGAGTGTTCTTACAAGACGTGTACTACTTGTTAAACCGTTGAAGCCAGAACTACCAAGCTCAGATACACCCTTGTCCTTGAGCTGGATTCTAGCTACACTGGTAATCCCGGTTTCTAGTAACTCAATCACAGATTTTCCTGAACCTAGAAAGCTTTGTGGACTGTCTTGGCGAACTTTGATGAAACCAGGTTGTTGGGCTGCCTACTCAGAAGTCTGCCAGGAATCTGGCAGTGGCAGCATAGCTGCGGTAAACTTGAAAATGACTTCCAGTTCCATCTAGAGCAAAGGGGACAGCCAGGCAGGGAGGATAAAGGCAGAACACAAATGTTGGGAAATAAAGTGTGAATATTTTGTTCAAGCAATCTGGGGGCCCATACTGGGTCCAAGGGGTTATGAAAATCCAAGAATATGGAGTATTTCCACAAGGAATAATCATTTCATGAAGTGACTTGCACTGGAGTTTGGGATAAAAATGTAACTTTACATAATGAAGACAGCTGCACTTGCCGCTAACAGAATGAATGGGTCTGGATATTAACCATCCAAATCTTAACTTCCTTTCCAGAAGGTAGACTCCCGCCATGTGGCAAGCAAATCTTAAGGACATAAGGAAGTCTGCAGGGAGAGAGACCCACATGGGCAAGAGCTCTGAAGGCGGTGGTAGAACATGGGCTGGGTCAGCAGAGACCAGGGCTGGCTTGTGCAGTCTCAAAAGGTCAAAGTCAACAGTGCTGTCAAGTGTGAGATACTCCATATACCTGAGCATCAATATTGGTGAAAGAAATTAAGTCCAAATAATTTTTTTCTTCTGCCTGCCTGGGTCTTTTCCGAGCTTTTGCTCAAGAGTAGCACTCTACCACCTGAGCTACAGCCCCACTTTTGGGTTTTTTGGGAGTTTGGTGGAATCTCAGGGACTCTCCTGCCTGGGCTGGCTTTGAACTGTGGTCCTCAGATCTCAGCCTCCTAAGTAGCTAGGTTACAGGCATGAGCCCCCAGCGCCCTGCCAATTCTCAAATGTCCAAATACTTTGCTTTTCCAAACAACATCACTGTCAAAAAGCTTTTCTGAAGACTCCAGGCTGGCTAAAAATATATTATTCAAGTGAATTATACTTAATGTGCTAATAAAGTCAAAAATAACATTTCAAAATGATCATGTTAATTAAAGTAGAATGGCTATTTTGGCTTGCAAAGTGGTCTGTAAATAGGTATGTGGAAACTGATGAATACAAGTCAGATGGTAGAAATAAAATATTATCACTATAAAGTTCCAGAAACACTTTATTTAAAAATGGAGTTGTAAATGCATAACAAAATAACATAAGTAATAAATGTAATAAAAATAAATAAGGAGAATAATGTATTATATAAAATAAAAACAACATAGTAAAAGGTCAAATGTTTATAATTGAACAAAACTGTAAACGAACAGTAATATACGTAGATTCTAATACTTTCTGAAGTCCTTACCTTCTACTCCCATGTGGATATGATCAGTACCCAAAGATTAAGTAAGAGGGAATAAAGATGATTTAACTTTCTCTTGAAATGGACTGACCCTGTTTTCATGTTTTATTTGTTCCTTCAAAGCATTTATCTTCTAATTCTTTAAAACCTTTTTCAGTATTCCTTTATTAGAATGGGGAATTTAGCTTTACAAGGAGAACAGTTCATTTACCTTTTTTTTCAATTTAAAGAAAAATACGAGATCCATTATACAACAGACTTTTTTTACATCTCTACAAAACGATTCTGCATTTTTAACTGATCCGAAGTACAGGATTTCTTAAAATCCTGTGAAGATTTAAGTATACTTTGTTTCTTCAAACAAATGTAGCACAAGGTACTGATAAAATATTAAAGACCATTTCATAAAGTTGCAGTTTAACCATTATAGACTGATGAGGTCAGGGGTAAATCCAGTTTGCTAACTATTGAAAAGAATTCAGATTCACCTAAATTATAGTGCTCTGGAAACATAAAGATATTATTTTCTTTTAAACTCATCCAAATGAAACATGAATTTGCAAGAGAGAAGCGGGGTGGGGGTGGGGGGGCAAGAGGAGGGAGAAGAGGAGAGAAATAGGAGGAAGAAAAAAGAAAAAGCAGCAAAAACCCAAGTGTAAAAGATCTCCGCGAGGCCTTCTGTTTCACCGCGTGTGCCCAAAGCCTTTGCCGACGTCCTGCAGGGCCCTCAGAGGCACGAAAGACAGGGTCTGCCACCAGGTCCTCGAGGAAACGGAGGACTTCATTGCTTGGGAGTGAAACTATCAACTAATCTTATGACTACTGGTTCTCCAAACTTCCTAATGAAAATTTTGCCTTCATGATCATTTCAAGGGGAACTTTTTTTTTTTTAACTGTCTCCTATAAACTTGGTAACACAGGGCAAATGTACATGTTCTTGGTTTTAAAAATATACTCCACCTATACTTTGTCTAGATTAATGTGTCTAGATAATTATTTAAAGTGAGAGACAAAAATCTTCCATTAAAAAGAACTGGAAAAAGTGCCAATTTGATCTTTTTGAAAGTGGAGTAAAACGCTGAGGTTAAAACAAAGTTCTGTCAATTTCCTATGTACAAAAAAGGTCAGTTAGTCCTAACTGGTCTAAAGACAGGTCTACTTGTCACTCCCAGCAAACCGTAGTCTCTGTAACCCTATAAGTTACACAGCAACAGTTCTAGAAATCACAGCCAGGCTGAAAATGGTCAGGACACAGAATGACTGCTGTCAGTGTCTGCTTTCCTGCAGAGCTGCATGTCCACGCGCCACAGGGCAACAAGTGAGGTCAGAAATCCTATCGCTAGGCAGCAATGGCTGGTGGAGAGAAGCCCGTTCAGGGAGCAGTTGGCACAGGAGACATGGGGTTCAGAAATGGTGGATGTTTAGTTTGCTTGGAGGTCACAGCATGGCTTAAAGAAAACACACACACACACACACACACACACACACACACACACACACACACACACAAAGATCTATGAGGGGAAAGGCTGCAATGATATTAACCGAGTTTGAAAATCACAAAACCACAAAAGGCAAAACTGCCACAATCTACTTGCTGCTATGTGTGCTTCGAGTGGTTTGAGAGGATTGGTCTGACATTATTTTATAGGTACAAAATAAATAAAATTAAGGAGACAAGGATAACAAGATTGTAGTTGACTAAGCTGTCTTGTTCTGTAGGTCAATGCTATGCTACTCCAACATTCCTAGTAATTCCACAGGCAGTAATTTCTTAATCGAGAGAAAGTCGTTCCTGCACTGCAACGTCTTCCTCTTCCCCATCAGGGTTGAACCTATTGAAATGTATACTGAAATCAGCCTCAGATTCGGCATTGTCAAACTCAGCTGAGCCGGAGCGCGCAGGAGGCAGAGCGCTAGCTTCTGGCTGGCACAGTGTCGGAGTCTGACCCGGGCTGCTGTGCTGATTCACAGGGCTGGACTTCTGTTTTGGTGGAGATGGCAAAATGGCATTGGGAAATCCCATGTTGTTAAGGGCCTCCAGAGTTCCATCTGGGTCAATCATGGCATTGATCGCTAAAGAAGAGAAGACACAAGGAAAAGGGGAAAGTATGTAACTATCTGCAGTTCAATTTGGACATGAGTATAATTTCTGATTTGGATACTTCCAGAATCAGTATATGAGTGGTCTATATATAGCTAATCCTCTAATACTGTACTTACAACTCACTCAACACCCCTGTGGCAAGTCTGCACAATAGATCTGGGTATTTTCCTGGGTCCCTCAATGTGTCCTTCAAGGGCATTTCAGAGAGGATGTACATACAATTCAAGAAAGACCTGAAATTTGCTTTCATTAATAAAAAAGAATCATGAAAAGACTGAGTACAGCTTTAATATATACATTCCCAGTGGTACTTGATTATTCATCAAGCAGGTAGGATTCAGTCACCGCAAGACTGTGGGCTCAGAACTCTGTATTTCTGAATGTCGTACCCATAGTGTGCTGTCACTGACACTGGCTGAGTCCTCACATCCAGGCATCCCCCTCGCCACAAACCTGCAAGCTCTGGGGGAAGCCAGGCAAAGACCCGCCTCCACATTGAGAGCGCGCTCTGTGGGAAGGGGAAGGTCTCGGGTCCTGGTTTTCAATTTGGCACTGGAGAAGGTAAAGAACTAGGAGATGGAAGCACTGTAGATGTGAGGATCATTCAAGAGCCTTTTCAGAATATACTCCGATTCTATCACTGTGTCAGCAAGCCATGTTTTAATTAATGGGAGCATGTAAGATCATTTAAACTTATTTTAATATATTACTTATATACAATGTGTACTATGTAATAGACTTATAATAGCTAATCTATTGTGAGATTTAAGCACAAAATATGCTCAAGATTTATCATCATTATAGTTTTGATTATTATATTGGGTTTTAAACTTCCCTATTAGCCAGGTATCCGTGGCTCACACCTAGCTGCTCAGGAGGCTGAGATCTGAGGATCTTGGTTCAAAAGCCAGCCCAGGTAGGAAAGTCCATTGTCTCCAGGTAACCACCAAAAAGCCACAAGTGAAGCTGTGGCTCACACAGCAGAGTGCTAGCCTTGAGCAAAGAAAAATGCTCAGGGACAGTGCCCAAGCCCCAAGTCCAAATCCCAGGACTAGCACACACATATCAAAAAACCTTCTCTTTTATGAATAATGTGTATATAGAGGACTGTAGGTTTTCATAAACAGCATTACACTTAATCAATATTGTCCTAATATTTTAAGAAATAACTCCTAGAATGCACTAGCCCTTAACTGTTAGTTCCTTTTGTCTCTCTTTCCTTTTCCCCCTTCCTCCCTTTCTTTCCTTCCTTCCTTCCTTTTCCTTTCTCCTTTTTTCCTTTCATCTTTCTTCCTTTCCTTCCCCTCTCTCCCCCTCCCCTCCCTTCCCTGTTGTTCCTGCTCCTAGAGTTATTTTTCAGTTCCAGCTCCAGGCTCCTAAGAACTGGAATCCCACCATGTGCAGTGGTTTGTCTCTCTACCCACTTGAGTAGCAATTTACCTTGTAGTTGCTTTTCAACTCTTTTCAGTTCCTGCAAGATAGAAGAAATCTCCTGCAGAAGAAGTAAAAACAAATATTAGCTTGCCATAAAACATTTTCAAGTGACAAGCAATGCCTCCCAATCTTTTTTTTTGGACATTTTATATTGGGAATCACATGGGTAGCAATATCATATGAAATATGACATCTAGTGAATAGGATTCAAATTTGGAATCTTTAACAATGAGATCTTTTCAGTAAAAGGTGAGAAGGTCAAGGTAATTTACATTGCCGAAGGAGGAATGGCGGAAAATCTATTCTGTTCATTCAACAGCTCTGTAACAAAACCTCTACAGATTTTCTTTGAGGAAACTGATGAACGACAACTTAAATACTTCTACAAGTATACTGAGCAAAACAATGATCTGTACAGTCTTTTTAAATTTTTTCCTCTATTTTTTTATTGTGAAAATACTGTACAGAGGGGTTACAATTACATGGGCAAGATAATGAGTACATTTCTTACCAAACATTGTAGCCTCCTCCTCTGTTTCCCCTTCCCATCCCTTCCTCCCCCCCCACCCTCCTGTACAGACTTTTTAGAGAAAGAGACAAGTACTGTATGAAATGAAAATAACTCATCGATTTGGTATTGAAGCTTGGTTCTAATTTTGAGTTAGTTATTTGTAATGGACAATTATTGAGATGGATCACAGTAAGAAGCACAAAGGTGCCTCCTTCAGAGCCTCTGGAAAAAAATCAACATTTTAACTCTGCACGTTCAGCTGAAGGGATAAAATCCCCAAGATCTGTAAGTCCTTCTTATGAGACAATGTAAACCCCCACATAGCTTCCTGTCACACTGCCGTTCAGATGCCGTTCAGTCTGAGCAGAATGCCGACTTACCGTGCTGGGGTTCTCACAATGTGACTTACCATGCTGGAGGTTTTTACAATGGGGACCTCACTCTCAGCTCTCAGCTTGTTCTCTATTTCGTCCCAGTTCCGATCTTTGTCTTTAAATAATATCCTGTAAATGAAAAAACCAGAAGCATTTAGTGATTCATATTTAAAAAATCTATCACATTTTAATATAAAAATAACCTATCAGTAACTAATAACCTTCAGAAAGATTTAATCTTTTTACCTCCCTATTACTTCTTCTGGGCAGTGCTGAAGTTTGAACTCAGGGCCCTTGCACCTGCAAGGAAGCACGTCAGCCATTTTTCTTTCTAGTCCTTTTTTGCTTTGGGTATCAGTCCTAAGCTGAACTCAGGGCCTGTGTGCTCTCTCTGACCTTTTCTGCTCAAGGTTAGTACTTTACCACTTGAGCCACAGCTCCATTTCCAGCTTTTCTGGTGATTAATTGGAGATAAGAGTCTTACGGATTTTCCCAGCTGGGCTGGCTTTGAACTGTGATCCTGAGATCTCAGTCTCCTGAGTAGCTGGATTACAGTACAGACTTGAGCCACCTGACTCCATTAGCCTTTGTGCTCAGGACTGCTGCTCTACCATCTGAGCCACAGCTCTACTTACAAACTTTTGGGGCTTTTTGGTGGCTAATTGGAGACAAAAAGTCTCAAGGATTTTCCTGCTATGGCTGGCTTCAAACCTTGATCATCAGAGATCTCAGCCTCCTGAGTAGCTAGGATTACAGGTATGAGTCACTGCACTTTGCTGTTATTTGTTATAAAAAAGGATGTGTTGAGCCAGACACTCAGACTCTGTTATTTTAACATACTATTCTTTTGTGAAGAAGGAAATGTTTCTTATTAATAAAATTAGTCTCAGTAATTATAGCTATTCATTCTCACAGCGAAGACATCTGTCTTGTGCCTGAACAGCACGAAGTAGTAGAGCAGAGTCGCCCTGCTCCCTCCCAGCGGGGAGGCATGGGTTTAGAAAGGAAGAGGTGGTTCTCTCCTAAGAACATCCTCTTTTGGTCTCAGTCCGAATGTTGAGAGTCCTGTTTAATTTATCATGTCCAAATGTAATTGGGTTTACTTGTACATTTATAGGCATATTCTAATTAGAAATGAGGGGAAACTAGGCAACCTATGTTTCTTTGGGTCTGGCTTACTCAATAGCTATGTGCATATGATCGTATAAAATGATGCTTATCAAAATGAACTCCAAGAAATGGTTTATTTTAGTATTGTTCTTTTTTTCTTCCTCGTTTCCCCCTTTTGTTGCTGTTTTTTATTTCTGTACCTTTTGTCTTGTATGTATGTTTATGTGACTTGGAAAGGGGGAGGGGAAACACAAAAATATGGCAGGACAAAATATGAACTAACTCAGCAGTGATACTAGACACTAAGTTGGAAATGAACTATGCAACTTGGTGGGAGGGGGAGTTAGGAGGGAAAAATGGGAGAAAATGAGGGAGGGGATAACATTGGTCAAAAAGAAATGTACTCATTACCTGCCATATGTAACTGCAACCCTCTGTGTATCACCTTTACAATAATTTTTTTTAAAAGAGACCCCTTTGTACAACTAAACATAGTAATAATTTTTTCTTTCTTTTTTTTTTTTGGTCAGTTGTGGGGCCTGAACCCTGGGCCTGAGCGCTGTCCCTCAGCTCTTCAGCTCAAGGCTAACACTCTGCTACTTGAGCCACAGCACCACTTTCGGCTTTTTTCTGCTTATGTGGTGCTGAGGAATCGAACCCAAGGCCTCATGCATGCACGGCAAGCACTCTACCACTGAGCCACCTTCCCAACCCAGTAATAATAAATTTTAAAAAGCAAAACAACAAAGAAAAAAAAAAAAGGTAGAAGTGACATAAAGCATGATTGGGGGAACAGACGCACCTTATTTTTCCAGCTGTTTTGTCTATAGACTGTCGTATCTTTCTAGAGAACTGAAAGACGGACGACAGCAGCAGATTATCCCCCATGACCTGAAACACACACAGCACGGACGAGGTTGGCTTCGAAAAACACTAGTCACAGCTTATGCTGTTTCTCATCCTTATGCTAATTTTAACTGGAAAAATCAGAACAGTGAAGTAATTAGAGTATCATGGTACTAAACTGAGAGTCAGGAATACTAACAAAGGAATTCTTTGTTGAACAACTTTTGTAGTTTCCATTCTTTTGGTTTCCATGTTCAAAAAGCAATCCATTTTATCTTTCTTCAATTACTATCACCCTCTCAATCCAAATGATCAGAAAAAGGGTAATTCAGGTAACTCTGGGATCTAAAGTTATTATTTATTCTTTCACCAAGGAATAGCCAATGTAAAAATCAATGGGACACAAGGCTTGTTTTTCAGACAGAGTTTAGCTGGAGAGAGAAATTTTCAAAGGTGTACTCAAAACAGTAAGTTTTGATGATGGGGCTGGTGTAGCTGTTGAGATGTGGCCAGGAGTCAGCCCCTCTACAGAGGGCCACAGAGCCAGGACGCGCTAGCCAGGGGCTGCGGACTTTCCTTCAATGCAGCCCCCCTGTGCAGGCAACGTGCACAGCCGTGTTATTCAGAAAAAGAAAAGCAGGTCAGCTGGGGCCTCGCAGGTTGCAGTCTCTCTAGTTCTCGTCTATATTACAAAAGGCAGGAAAAAGGATTGACTTTGAGTACACGGCTTCCAAAATCAGCTGTCTGTGTTTTCAGGACTATATCCTGACTATAAGAAAACCTAGAATAACAAAGATTGTCTGAACAGCTGCTTTAAAGGCCCACAGCACATAGCTAACAGCGCATAGAAAATATGTGCGACTCATGGGCAAATAGTAAATCTTGTGAGGCAATGCTGTAAGAATTGTAAGCAAAGTTAGTTCACTAAGGGTGACATAATAAAAAAGAGGTCATCAGGGGCTGGGAAGGTGGCTCAGTGGTAGAGCGTTTGCCTTGCATGCATGAGGCCCTGCGTTCAATTCCTTAGCACCACATAAGCAGAAAAAGCCACAAGTGGCGCTCTGGTTCAAGTGGTAGAGCGCTAGCCTTGAGCTGAAGAGCTGAGGGACAGCGCCCAGGCCCAGAGTTCAGGCCCCATGACCGATTAAAAAAAAAAAAAAAAAAGGTCATGGGAAAAATGGAACTTAATGACAAGGATGTGAATTCAGTGGAGGGCAAAATGGTTTACTTAGGATGAGAAAAATAACAAAGAAAAGGATAGATCTAAGTACTGTGATATTTATGGGTTTTCAGGTACAAGTGTAACATGGAGCTGGGTGTGGCATCACACCTGTAATCCAGGCTATGGGTGGCAGAGATCAGGCCAGCCTAGGGGGAAAAAAGCAAGATCTAATCTCAACCAACAAAGCAGACATGGTGGTATGTACCTGTAATCTCAGTTAGGCTTTAAGTAGGAGGACCATACTCTAGGCTGGCCCCCTGCAAAAATTCACAACTGTATTTGAAAAATAAAAGGCAGGGGGATGGCTCAATTGGTAGAGCACCTGCCCAGCAGGTGAAAATTTAACAAAATGGAAGACATTCTCAAATTAGGAAAGAATGAAAAAGAGCAGGATTTTAACAGAACATGATATTTCTCTTTGTTACTTCATAAAGCATAGTTTGGTGTTACATGCATTAAATAAATTTCTGATGTCAACCTTGTGACAACTATCAATTATGCAATTTGATCCTCTTTAAAAAATGTAAACTTGCCAGGTGCTGGTGGCTCACGCCTGCCATCCTAGCTACTCAGGAGGTTGAGATCTGAGGATCATGGTTCAAAGTCACACTGGGCAGGAAAGTCCATTAGACTCTTATCTCCAATTAACACTAGAAAACTGGAAGTGGAGCTGTGGCTCAAGTGATAGAACACTCGCCTTGAGCTGAAGAGCTGAGGGACAGCACCCAGGTCCAGAGTTCAAGCCCCACAACTGACACTGCCCCCCCAAATATAACACACACACACACACACACACACACACACACACACACACACACACTCTCTTCTTTATAAATAAAACAATTTTATTACATTTACAGGAACAGCTGTGTCTGAAAAATCTCAGCACAGAATTAGGTGAGATAAAGAATGAGCCGTTTTCTGGATAACAAGAACAAATGCCCACACAGGCATGAGAGTAAAAGCATGCTGTATAAGCAGTACACTGTGAGTGTGGTGCTGGAGCTGGCCCCCACACTCTCCCATTAGGGGAAAGACACACATCTTCTAATACATACAACTTTCAAAGTCCCATTCTCTGTGTGTGTGCGTGTGCGTGTGTGTGTAGGTCCTAGAGTTTGAACTAAGAGCATAGGAGTTATCCTTGAGCTTTTATGCTCAAGGCTAACACTACCACTAGAGTCACCACTCTGCATCTGGCTTTTTTGGTGGTTAATTGGAGATAAAAAGTCTCATAAGCTTTCCTACCAGAGCTGGCTTTGAACTGAGAAACTTACATCTCAGTCTCTTGAATAGCTAGGATTATAGGTGTGAGCCACTGGTGCCTGGGGCTTCAGGTCCCATTCTTTGAAACAGGATTTTTGAAGTATCCATCTATGATCAATTCCTTTCTCAACTCTTTTCTTGCAATACTCTTTCATTATTTGCCTCTTGATCAATGCATCAGCTCTGCTATTGCTGGCCATCTGGGAGATGGAGTCTAGAGAACTTTTCTGCCTGGGCTGGCCTTGAACTGCCATCCTCCAAATCTCAGTCTCCTGAGTAGCTAGGATTAGAGGCATGAGCCATTAGTGTCTGGTGTTAAAAGTTTTTTTGTTTTGTTTGCAGTGATCTTGGGGCTTAAACTTTGGACCTAGGCACTGTCCCTGAGCATTTGTGCTCAAGGCTAATGCTCTACCACTTGAGCAACAGCTCATTTCAGGCTTTTTTGGTGGTTATTTGGAGACAAGAGTCCTTATGGACTTTACTGCCTGGGCTGGCCTGGAACCTTGATCTTTAGATCTCAACATCCTGGGTAGCTGGGATTACAGGTGTAAGCCAAAGTTGTTTTTTTTTTTGATAGATAAAAGTCCTTATTTATATATATATATATAAATTTATCAATGTTTTAAAGTGAAAAATTATGTCATTTAAGACATTATCTCCTATTAGAATGCTTATATATATATATATTCATATATATGTGTATATACACATATATATGTATATGATGTGATATGTGGATGCAGTACCTTCTATCTACAAGGTAACCACTTTCTTCTCCTCAGCCCACTTCCCAGACATGATTCCTTTGCCGCTTAAGGTTAGTGGCTGACTTACTTCATCTCTGCTCCAGGTTCTCCGTCTGGTAATTGTGAGGTGATCAGGAGGCTCTACTGGCTGAGATCTCGAATCACCACACCGACCATTGTTTCCTTCTGGAGTTTTAGAATGAACTAATGGAGGGATTTTTCTGAAGTTGAGACTTTCGTCAAAAACACGATCAACCAACTAATGAGACAAAAGCAGACCCTTATGAGAACAGGATAACTATGAAGAGTTTAGACACTAATATAATTTTTATGATGTGACAGAAGTTACTCCATTTCTATAGTAACAGAAACAGGATATCTTCAATAAACCAATTAATTTTTAATAAGCATTTCAAAGTAAATCCTTAATAAAACAGATGCTCATCTACATTGATTTTATTTTCAGAATCCAACATGTACAACTAGGCTAAATTCAATTCTTTCATGAATAAGAGTTTTTTTCAACTGAAAAAGAGATGCTACCAAGAAAATACCTAAGCCATGTAGATGAACACTTACTCATGCTGTCTTACAAAGTAGTATTACTTTTTTAGTTTCCTATTTTGTTTTGTCCAATCCAAATCCAAGTGTCAAATTTCTTCAAAAGGATACATATATTGCATATTCTAATTAAGTTTACAAAAGGAAAAACAAGTATTTTGTTCTTTAGTTAAATAATGATACAGAAACCATACGCCAGTAAAAATACGCTACCATATCCTGAAGTGCCAATAAGACACCATTTAGACTAAGTAAGCCAGGTTTACTGAAGAGGGGTGAAACACTAACAGAAAGGGAAATGGACTCTAGTGAATGAAATGCTTCATAATCTTACTGGGTCTGGGTGGATGTTAACCATGTTAGGGAAACTTTAGTTAGAAAACAGAAAATAATACCATCATTTTAAATGTACCAGACACCTGTGTATGTCTTGCCACCAAGGTTTTTTAACCAATAAGGATGATTTCATTTACAGTTACAATTGATCAGGTGGTAACAAAACTCTACACAGACTGATGAAATATCATTTATTAAGTTAGACAACATATGAAAGAAAAAGACAAAAAAGTGATTATTAGAGAATTACATGAAAGAAGAAATGTGACAAAAAGCAACGGAAGAAAAACAGTTTACCAGAATTAAACATCAACAAGGCTAGCTGTTTTTGGCTACTACTTTGAATATTATTTAATAAGACTAAGGAAGTGAGCCACCAAGCTCAAGGGCTGGCAGATGTTTTTGTGAGTGGACAGTAAGTATCTTATAGGCCTTGCAGCCATGCAGCCGTGGTCTCACCTCCGCTCCAGTCAATGGTTAACCAGATGACTGTGCCAAATGTAATTAAAAAAGAACTTCAGCTATGGACCCTGAAATGTGAATTTCATACAATTTTCATGGTATGATTTATTACTTTCTATTTTTTCAATCACTGAAAACCATAAACATGAATTTCCACTTTTTACATCATATGAAAATAAATTCATTCATCTGTACATCAATTTTGTTGCTGTTGTTTTGTTTAAGACAGGGTTTTGCTATGCTGGCCTTGAATTCACAAACACTGGGATTAGAGGCTTGCTCATTCATACCTGGCACACTTTTGGCAAGTGTTCTACCACTTGCGCTATGCTTCTAGACCTTCTAATTCTTTTACATGTCAATTCTTTGGTTGCATTTCAGCCCAGATCAAAATAGACAACATGGCCAGAAAGTACAGTGGAAACTATGAATATTCATAGAACTTTCTCTGTCATTCTCCAGCAATAGTTATCACATTGCCTTAGTATAGTGTGGAAGGTCGCACATAAATTGGATAGGTGACTAAATCATTTTCTGTAAGAGATTGAGTTTCCTTAGATTTTTCTATTTGTAAGGAGAGAAGGGAGATTCTGGAACCAATCCTCTATTGATATCAAGGAACAAGAGACCACTGTTCCATGAGCTTGGTATGTTGTAGGCACTTTCTGGAACAATGCTATGCAGACAGTGCCACTTGAAATTTTACTGCACAAGGCCTTGATGTGGGCTGGTCAACAGTCTACTGTGATAACTTATGTCCCATAGTTTACAGAAATACTCCGAGAATTTATATATGTATGTACACATACATTGTTATAAAATACCTTTGTGTGTATATGCTAGTATTTAAAGTATTGAAAACTGTAATTTTTTTCACTTAGTGCTTAAGATATATTGCCTTGTGAACCAGCAAAGAGAACTGGGTGTTATCATAGTCAAAGTTTACTGACCCTTTATGCACTAATTTGTCAGATTTTGGTGTGCTTTTCAGACACCATGTATATTCACATTTCAAGGATAGTTATGGACCAGGAATAAGCAGGCAAAGTGCATATATGGAATGGCTTTCTATCTTTAGGTTAGTAGTAGACCAAATGTTAGCCTTTTAGCCTTTACTTCTTGTTATAAACACCAAACGATTTTGCTAAATCGAGTTGGAAAATGCGAGACTCGTGCAGACAGGAGGGGTAGACAGAAGTAAAAGAACTTAAGCAAAAAGCGAAAAGCAAAAGAAATAAAGAAAAGGAAGAACCTTATGCATCTCTCCATGAAGATCTCCTACCTCTTCTCTAGTGTCTATGGCAGAACCGGGGGTGGTGGCAGCAGTGCTTACTGTGGTGCTGGGGGCCGTGCCCGACGACGTCACCGAGTCGATCTCCCCCGCCACGTCGTTGATCTCCCGAGCGATGAGAGCGAGATCTTGGCTGATCCTGGTGGTCATTTTAGGAAAGAAGTTTAATTCCAATTAAATACCAGCTCTAGAAACACAATCATTGCAGAACTACTTCTGGAAGCTGTATATAATCACGACTCATGGTTCTCTGGAAGTGGTCTTAACTATTTTGGTACTAAAAAGTCTTAGACCTTAAGTCCTGAAATTAATGTTAATGAAAACTACATTCTGAATAGTCTACAAGATAACACCCTGACACTCTGAAGTAGAGATAGGCCTTTACATATATACAACATGTGTTAATGACTAATGATGTCATCACAGGGAGGGATCTGAGAGAATTCAAGAAGTTTCTGAACCAGGATGAGAAGAAGCCATCCTATTTTCACTAACCTGTCAGTAACTGAGTTGTTTCAATGATAAATTCAGGAATAAACTCCAGGGGTAGTAGCGAGACTGGTGATTTTTATGATCCAGAGAAATAACATTATAGCTGCTAGAGGTTTCCCAGACTTCATTGTGGCCATCAGTTCTTCAAAATTACTAAAGTCCATCAATTCTTCAAAATTACTAAAGTCATTAAACTTGCAATACTGTCTTATTAAATATGTTTATAAGGGACCCTATGCTATATTAATACCTGAAATAATTTGGTAACTGGATTATTTGCATTTAATTAGAGCTCTAAGTATTTTGTTTATGCATTCAGAAGCACTCTAGATGTCTCCCTGCATTTTCCTCCCTGAGAGCAAGGGGCACATGGCTTCAGGCACTTAACATCATGCACAGACTACACTGCCTACAGGAGACTCTATCATCTGACTATCCAGTCCTTCCAATTCTGCTGAAGGAACAAATTATAAAAGAACACAACCTTTTCACTCGTGGCTATATTTGCTTCCTTTGTAATACATCTCTATTTTTGCATTGTGGTAGTTAACTGGAGATTAAGAGTCTTATACTTTATTGCTCTGGCTGGCTTCAAACCATGATCCTCCTATCTCAGCCTCCTAAGTAGCTAAGATTACAGATATAAGTCTGTAATTGATAAAAATCATGAGTCTATCTATAATAAGCTCTCTTTTCTCTGACAGTACTAACATTGCCTTCACAGTTAGTGCTCTTTAATGCAGATTTGAAGTTATCTTGCTCTTCACATTCTTCAAAGCCCCCACCAAGCACACAAAATATGCACACCCATGACTTGGCACTCAGCAGCTCCTACTACTTGGCCAGCTTTGTGCTAGCATTAGTTAGCTCATCTAGTAACGATCTTTGTACTTCTTTGTTTAAGCAAAACATGATATATTTCAAATCTCTGACCTATAACAACACAAGGACACATCAGACACACACCTTGGACTCTACTAAATATATTCTTTTTTTTTTGGGGGGGGGGGGTCCGGTCGTGGGGCCTGAACTCTGGGCCTGGGCGCTGTCCCTCAGCTCTTCAGCTCAAGGCTAGCGCTCTACCACTTAAGCCACAGCGTCATTTCCGGCTTTTTTCTTTTTGCTTATGTGGTGCTGAGGAATCGAACCCAGAGCCTCATGCATGCAAGACAAGCACTCTACCACTGAGCCACCTTCCCAGCCCTACTAAATATATTCACACTGAAGTCATCTTCATGGTCTGAGGCTAAGCACTATTGGAGTGCTTAAAAATTCTCTGTTGAGTTGATGGGGAACTCTGTGTGTGTATATGTTTAAGTATATGTATATGTAATGTATATATGTAGTTGACCAGGAATGTGTGTGCATATGTGTGTGTGATCAATCAATCTCTTATATACAAGTAAATTTAATTAAAAACAGTTCCGTATTGGTATTCAAAAACAGGTTACAACTTTTGCAAATAATGCTCTCAACTCATAAAGATAAAATATTACACACTGGCTTATCTTTCAATCATGTATGTATATAGAAAAAATTGTACAGAATAGATTTCACATTTTTTAGTTTATGATTTACAGTATTTGAAAATAATTTTTCTCACATCATGCTAACTTATCTACTACCCAATAAAAATGTAAACAATCAACATTGACTTCCTTTCCTTTTATACTGTATTCTTCATACTTTTCCCGTTATCCATGGGAAAAAAAAACCAGTTCTATGGTGCTATAATATGTGGCTTGAAAAATTAAGATTCTAAAAGTTACTACCGGCAAAGAAAGGGGGTGAGGCAGGATAGGCAGCATTAGGCTGCCCAGCTGTGTTCTGGAGCCCTGCAGACAGGTAACACATAAGGAAGGCAGTGGTACCGCACACAGAGCAAAATGAAACCAAGGGAAAAAGTGTTTTTGGCCGCTACTCATTCCATGCCTTTGTGCACTTTCCCAGGAGAACAAGGCCATTAATTCTTCTTACTAGAGCCCACAGAGGTGGGCTGAGAAGAGACATAGAGTCTCGTTTTCTGGGCCTTCCTTGACCTTATGTAACTGGACATTTCCTCATGGGAAAGAGAAAAGGCTAATTATAGCCAATTATGACCAGAACAGAAAATGTGGTAGGTTTTTCTCTACAAGCATTTTGTGGGTCCATGATGATCTACAGATCTTGGAGGCTTTTTTCCTTTCTTTTCTTGGTCAGTTGTGGGGATTGAACTCTGGGCCTGGGTGCTGTCCCTGAGCTCTTTAGCTCTACCACTTGAGCCACAGTGCCACTTCCTTGAAGCCTTTTTTCTAACTACAGCAACTGACATAAAAAGTTTCAGTGAATTCCTTAAGGATCCATTTGTTTAATAAAACAAAGATATTTAAAATGGCACAAAGAGATTAGAAGGTTAAGTTTTCTCAAAAGTAGAGAGTGCAAGTGCATAGTCCTAAAACATAAAGGGACTAAAGCCTACTTTAAATTAATGGGCCAGAAAAAAAATAATTCACAGATGTCAACAAAAAGACAAAACATCATTGAACTACAGTAAAAGTTTGTAAACCCATTTGTGGATTATTTATTTATTTATTTGTTTGTTTGTTTGTTGGGGGATTGGGTGCTGTCCGTGTGCTCTTCAGCTCAAGGCAAGCGCTCTTCCGCTTAAGCCATAGCACCACTTCCGGTTTTCTAGTGGTTTATTGGAGATAAAGAGTCTCACGGAGTTTCCTGCCCGGGCTGGCTTTGAACCATGATCCTCAGATCTCAGCCTCCTGAGTAGCTAGGATTACAGGCATGAGCCACTGGCGCCCGGCTTTGTGGATTATTATCATATGCATGTTTATTAATACTGTCAAGAATTAAACTTAATTGGGTGGGGTGGAGGGGGGAGGCTGGGAAGGGAGGTGAAGGGTAAACAAAGGAGGAGGCTGCAATGCTTGGTAAGAAATGTATGCATTATCCTGCCCATGTAACTGTAACCCCTCTGTACAGTATGTTCTCAAATAAAATAAAATAAAATTAAAAAAAAAAAAAGAATTAAACTTAATATCCTAAAGGAAGAAGTAATTTTAGCATATATGCAACAAAAATGCTTAGTAACATATGACACACCAAAGTAAGTTTAGTATCCCACAAATATTAAATTCAAGTCTTATGTTTGAACTATGATTTACTTCAGTTTGATTATAACTGATCTTTATTTTATATTTTTAGCTTTTACATCAACTTTATTCTCAGAGCCTACCCGTATGAGAACAAACCCTCACATTGCCAACTATTGTAGGAATCAGATTCCTTCTTACAAAATCTCTTACTCAACAATAAGTTCTGGGTTGCAAAGTGGATTTACTGTTCACATCTGTCTGTAAGGCTTTGTTACAAATTAAACAAAGACAAACACACATTATATTTATTTATTTATTTATTTTTTGGTTGGTTGTGGGGCTTGAATTCTGGGCCTGAGTGCTGTCCCTGAGTTCTGGCAGCTCAAGGCTAGTGCTGTACCACTTGGAGCCACCACACTACTTCTGGTCATCTGGTCCTTAATTGGAGATAAGAGAATCATGGACTTTCCTGCCTGGGCTGGCTTTGAACCACGATCCTCAGATCTCAGCCTCCTGCGTAGCTAGCGATTACAGGTATGAGCCACTGGTATCTGGCCCTAACTGCTCTTTAATGTTCAACCAAAATAAGTTACTACCTAATCAGATGTGCAGCATGAATTTTACTTTTTGTATGCAATCTAAAAGTTATATCAAAGTCATCTAATACTCAAAATACTCATATCTTCCTTTATTAAAGGGTTGAGCTAATTATACTTAACTCATCCAAGTATAATGGAAGCTGTGTGTGAGTCTGAGGGCAACCTGGGCTAGAGAGAGACTCCGCTCTTAACAACAACAAAAACAAAGTACAAAAACAAAGGGAAAATTTATTTACTCTACGTTTCCCAAGAGAATAATAGCAACATATCTTACAGATGATTACTTCCTTTGAAGTTAAAAGAGATCAGCTTCCTGTAGAATTCTTAATTAGGTAGAGCTGATACTACTTTTCAAAACTTAAATTTGCTCATCATCATCTCTATTAGAAATTTTAAGGGGGAAAGAAACAAAACCAGTTAATTCTACAACAATGTGTTTTATAGTGTGTTGGTAGCACAGCCATTTAAATAAATGGAAAAAAAAGGAAAATTTTAAAACAAAGGAAAAAAGCTGATGGCAAGTAATTCTCCAGATAAAACTGAGTTTTTCATACCTGTGCACCCCAGAATGCTTATTAGTAGTACAAGTCAAGCAAAAGCGAATCTTGTTGAAATAAGTATTGATGGGAACCAACCTGGCTATCTCTTCTCGATGAGCAGTCCAATCACGGATGTAGTCTTCCTGTTCTTTAATTCGGTGCTTGAATGAAGAACTAGCAGGCATTGCTGATCCAGCGCTCTGCAAGCGAGTGGTTTTCAGGGCTGGAGAAGTACGTAGACGAGTATGTTTAGGGGAATTACGGTTTGATCCAAATTCATCTTCTGAGGTGGAAGCATAATCAGTAGGAAAGCGCCTCCATCTTGAATTTACTAAATTAGTTTAATTATTAAAAAAAGAATTATTATATTATCATTTAAAGGAGATAAAATAAGTATCATGATATCATAACCACAATGAGTGCACACACAGCACAGTTGCCAGTAACTGACACACATACCTCACATAAACCATAAGTCCACTACTCCTTAAAGATACAACAAATAATTAAAAACAACTGAAAGACTGTTTTCTATAGTGTAGTGAACAGACACTCAGATGGGAAGTTCACTGATGATGAACTACTAAGCAAGCTCTAATCAATTGTAAATATTCTCATTTGAGTGAAAATATGGATGTTATAAGAAGGACAGCAACAACACCAACACTAACAAAAATAAAAACTGGGGAAAAGACTTCCTCATGCCACATGGACTTCCAACACGGAGATGGTAAAACTCTCTTTTCACAACAGATACATGTGCATAATTCCTGTGGTGGAAATTATGCCTTTATGGCAGGAAAAAAAAAAAACATTACCTCTGTCATTCAACATCCTGTTATGCTATGGTTGGAAAAAAGCTTTTTATATGGTAAAAAAAAAACAACAAAACAACAAAGCATCTTCAGTAAAACTTCCTGCTGCTGGTCACTGAAAGCACATGGTCAGAATAGACAATGGAGTAAGAAGCTATAGAGTGCAACTGCAAGCTGCTTTCACGATCACTGACACTTAGGCACAGGAGACACTGTGAATAATCACATGAAAGAAAGTGGTTCACACTTTCTTATTTTAGGTTAGGACACTGAAAAATGGTACTGCTGACACATTTGAAAAATCAGAAGACAATTATGTAGACATTTTACTACTATTGAAATGAGAGCCAAACATATGCCAATTTGTGAAGCATAAGTAGAGGTAAAAAACCCAGAGATGACTAATTCATGGTAAACAAGGGCAGGAAACATGTAATTCATTAACATATAGTAGTTTCATTAGTGAAGTGTCTGACTAGCAAATATTTAATAAGTATTCTTTCTATATGGCAGTATTGGGGCTTGAACTTAGGACCTAGGTTGTCCCTTAGCTTTTTCTGCTCAAGGTTAGAGCTCTATCACTTGAACCACAATTCCATTTCTGACTTTTTGGTGATTAATTGGAGCTAAGTCACACCAATGTTTCTGCCCAGGCTGGCTTTGACTCTCAATTCTCAGATCTCAGCCTCCTGAATAGTTACAATTAAATGTAAGCCACAATGCCTAGAACTTATTAAGTATTCCTAAAGTTATGAGTTTCTGGATGTAACATGGTTGTTTTCCTCAAGGTGAGAAGCAGCCTGAGATGCTTTTGGTATTTTAAGTGACAAAACTTGGATATTTGCTGTAAATTCCAAATGCTACTAATACTAGAAGACTTTTCTTCTCTCTCCATGTGTCTGTCTATAGCCATATACTCAGGACCTTGATCTAAGTTGCACAGCAGATTGGTCAAGTCACAATTCCCTTGTCCTTTTCCACTAGACTTTTTCTTCCAACAAATTTTTTTTGGTTGGTACTCTCTGAATTAGCTTATACATTAGAGAAATCAATAGCAAGAATATGCCATAAATTAGGGCCAACCCAATTGTTCTCATTCTTAATTCTCCTTGTAACTCTGGGGGTCTAGGTCTAGATTTATGGCTTATAATAATGAGCATATGCAAAAAAACTTATGGAAAACTCTATGGAAATATGTGCAAACATATAAAGAACTCTAGGTAATTAATTACAGATTTTTTTAAGTCAGACTAAAATACAAGTTTGGATTTTAACATTTTGAGATACATTACATAGATAATACCTTTACTATGGTAGAAATTTACTCATTTCCATACATATGAAAACTCTCATAAATTGAAGTTATTTTGACACTTGTAACAATTTTATAAAAAATTCTGTAAATCAGAGCAAGAGATTAAAAATATGGTGAATAAGTTTTTACTTTGCAATAGGGCATTTCATTAAATACTAAATGTATGTTTATTTTAATACCTTATAAACAAGAAAAGCATTTTTTTTGTCAGTCGTAGGGGACCCCAACTCAGGGCCTGGGCACTGTCCCTGAGCTCTTCTGCTCAAGGCTAGTGCTCTACCACTTTGAGCCACAGCTCCACTTCTAAAGGGATCATTTTTATTAGCTCATATATCCTGTTTTATAATTTGAAGCTATAGTCGACATATTTACAATTGAAAACTGTTTTGGAAACAAAACCCCAATAACATCAGTTTTACTAAGCTGCAGATTAAATGAAAACATAAAGAAGTATGATTGGTGAAAACAGGGTAAATTAGAAAGAACAGCATCAATCAATAGCAGGTGAATTTCATGTGTGGCAGAATACATAAAAGCAGAATGAGAAATTGAGTACCACATCCTAACCATCAAAAGACAGTATATCTTATATAGCCACATTCAAATGAACTTTTAATAATATAAGTCCCCAAATTTATAAAACAATTAAGAATTTTGAGGAAGAACAGTAAAAAACAAAGACAACAACAACAAAAATATTTACTGTCTCTATACTTTTTTGTGTTCTAGTACTGGGCCTTGAACTCAGTGCCTCCTACTCTCAGTTGGCTTACTTGCTCATGGCTGGTGCTCTACTTGAGCACTACAACCTGGCATCTCAAGGCCTTTTCTGCCTATGTTGGCTTTGAACTGCAATCTCTAGATGTCAACATCCTGAGTAGGTAGTATTACAGGAGTGAGTCACAGGCATCTGGCTCCACCTAGTTTTACAGATCTACTTAGAAGTCTGTAAGAATATGAGTACATCTATAATTATCTTTCAAAGCCAAAAGAAGAAAGTATATTTTAAAAATTGGAGGACATCTTTATAATTTCATTTAGGGTAAAATGAGAGGGTGAAATATTCTAAAACTTTTTTTTTGTTTTGGTTGGTCCTGGGGCTTGAACTCTGGGCCTAGGCGTTATCACGGAGCTCTTTAGCTAAAGGAGTGTTCTACCACTTGAGCCACAGCCCCACGTCCAGTTTTCTGATGGTTAACTGGAGATAAGAGTCTCACAGACTTTACTGCCTGGGTTGGCTTTGAATCGTAATCCTCAGATCTCAGCCTCCTGAGAACTAGGATTACAGGCATGAGCCACCAGTATCTGCCTCTAAAACATCTTCTAAAGATATCAACATGTTCTTACTTTCTAAAGTGTGCATTTAATACATAACCCAAGAAAATCTTTGTTTTGGCTACTCAAGGTCCATAATTATAAACATGCTATTCTAAATAAATATTGTAGGGACATTTCTACTGTAGTAATATTGAAAAAGTATCACTGAAAGAATTTGGAGGTATGGGGCTGGGAAGGTGGCTCAGTGGTAGAGCGCTTGCCTTGCACGCATGAGGTCCTGGGTTCGATTCCTCAGCACCACATAAGCAAAAAGATAAAAGCCGGAAGTGGCGCTGTGGCTCAAGTGGTAGAGTGCTAGCCTTGAGCTGAAGAGCTGAGCGACAGCGCCCAGGCCCAGAGTTCAAGCCCCACGACTGGACCCTTGCCCCACCGCCCCCCCTCAAAAAAAAGAATTTGGAGGTAGGGGCAATTTGTGAAACCTCCTACAAGGACTCAACATAATGTTGGCAAGTCAGACTTTCCAGTGATCAATTTTTATCATATATATATATATATATATATATATATATATATATATATATATATATATATTCCTATAAAAACTTTTGTTAATGTTGTAGAATATACAGTTTAAAATACTATTCTTTTAAATCCTATTTCAAAAACTAAGGATTTTAATTTTTCCATTAAAGATTATAACTATCTTAGGACATTAGAAATGCCAACTGTCAAAGACACCTAATTACCTTATATATACTACCTCGTATATACAGCTACTATAGTATTTTCCCCATTAACTGAAAGATTATGGTCACTATCTTTCTTGATCAGATAGAATACTATAATAAATGGACACCTTAAGAGAATCTGAATTTATTCTCCACAATCATAATGTGGCTTTAGGCCCAGAGTGGAATACAGGATACAATCTAGGTAAAATAGCACTTGCAAAAAATTTTAATGAATAATACAAAACTGTGATATTGTACATTGACCTTATGTATACTTTGGAAATCCAACAGATTTACGCTGTCTTCCAGAAACTGGCAATGTCAAAAGGGTCTGGACTCTCATTCTGCTTGTCCGTGCCATCTGGACAGAGACAGTTCATGTCCTGGTCTCTAAAGGAAATGCTCTTTCTACTTCTTAAATTCTGTGACTGCAATTACTTTATATACGACTAATACATTATTTATATACTTTCATAAATATATTGCATCTCTATTTTCTCTAAGGAATTTTATTAAGGAATTCAAGCTGCTTTTTGGACACATAAAATTTATTAATTTCTGATCAAAGTGGAATATAAAATTAATTTGTCTATGTAAGTAATATGGTATCTTATGGGTTCCCTAACTTGCCAAAGCAGTCTTACACTAAACAATAAGGAATAAAACTAGTTCACTCATGTGGTAAGAGCTAGTCACGCGGCATAGAAGGAAGAACTACTCTACACTACTTGGTATCAAACAATTTATGATACTGTTTATGATAGGATGGAAGAATATTGAATATTTTAATGCACTGGAATGGAGATAGAGTGATAAACCAAACAGTGAGGCAGGAGAAATTTACACTTACACACCATAAAACTCAGCACAAAGGGAATGTGAATTGAAGAGGTAGTAAAGCCATAAGAAACAAAGAAAACAGTACTAAATAAACACAAACCAAAACACTGTCTTCAGATACTTGGCAATAAAAATTTAAAAAACCAATCAAAGCTCGACATGTAGAAACAAGGGTTAAAGTAATTAAAAAGTCCACAATTATATATTCTCCTGTTTCAGCTGTATCCACTCCTACCATAGACTGTGGCTACCATTACTAAACCTACTAGCCAACAGAGAAGTAAAGGTGGAGGAAAGCAGCAGTGAAGAAGAGGAGGAACAGAAAGTAGAAAAAAATACATATTCCAAATTACCTTTAGTTTTGAGTCTTGTAGGCTATGTTGTGGTAGATGTATATCAAACAAAAATAAAAGATAAAATTATATACCAACTTTCCCTCTACTCTTAATTCTAGACTGGGCACTTGGGATGCTGACTGAAAATAATGATAAATCTCCCGTTTTGTAACAGGTGGATTTCCACTGGCCTTTTATAGCCACACCCGTAAACAAAGCTGTTTATGAAGTAATAAGAGCATGCTTACAGGATGCACATAAGTCTCTACCTAACTACTATAGTCACCAATGTGACTGAGTATGAAGCATATAAACAGACAAATACACCAACAGCAGTTAGATTCTGGGTGTCAGTAAGTAGTTTCTGTAGTCATTATACTCATTTACAGTTAATTACTACAATGAAATGATACAGTAATAGATACTTGTGAGAATGTTCACAAGTACCTATGATGCCATCTTCCAATGAAATAGGAGGTAGTATTCACCTATTCAATCATAAACTTCAAATGTGTAAGTACAGAAGACACTTCAAAATAAATAGATAATAAAAGAAAAACATTGTTATCTATCTCTTAAAAGCCAGTATATTGTGTTTCTCTTCAGGTCTGTAAGGGCTTTGAAGTACCTGATTTTAGAAGTACATTAATTTCTATTGTGTAAACTATTTAAGTCCTAATCCAATTGTGACACATAAATCCACCTGTTACCAAATGGAAAAGTGAAACTCCTGACTCAGTTCAATGATTCGGCCCGAGTACTTTTGGAAGTGTAATTACTTTGGAATTTTCTATCCACTAAACATTATTTTTAGAGGAAGAAGAGTAACTGAATTTTAACTTTTATTTTGACTATTCTGTGAAGAAATTAATTCAAACAGAACAGGCTTATGCTATTAGAAATCTGAATCCAATTTACCTGAAGAAGAGCCATGAGATGAGGTCATACTTTTGATCTTGGAGTCTGATAGTCGAGAGATACTGTTAGCTCTAATTCTAGGAGAAAATTTATCAGACGGCACTAATCTAGCTCCACTTCTAATGATGGCTTCTGCAGTGCGTGAGGAGGCGCTACTTCTGGACAGTGTTGCTTCAGAGTCACTACGGGCTGATAGTGAGCCAAGCCTTGTCCTGCGGGGCTGAGCCAGCAGGTCAATCCTAGAGCTGCTGCGCCTTCCCGTGGGGGGTTTGGATGTGGAGCTGGTGGTGGATACTTCAGAAGCGACAGATGCCTTGTCGGCATCAGCCAGCTCGCTGTCGGAAGCCTCACCAAGCCGTGCCCTGCGCAAGAGGGAAGTCCTGGTAGGTCTAGGCCTCGGAAGAGTGGTGGGTTTACCAGATGAACTGGGTGCTACTGGAGAAGTCTTAGACTTTGTTCCCTTGCTTCCATCCAGTTTGGAATGTATATGCTCTTCAGTGGAGGTAAGTGGAGTCCTTCCATGAGATTTGCAAGAGTATGTTTCCTGGTCAGATGACATAATATCAGAGATAGCAGAGTGAGGCACACTGGACGTCTGGTCATCATCTGTTAAATCTACTGAAGGCTGCCTTATTCTCCCACTGGATTGTACAAATTTTCGACCATCTGCTCTGGAACCTATATCTGTGGAACGACTTTTTGTTTTCTTTTCAATTTTCTCCCGAACACCTGAAGATGAAGATTTTGTAACATCTTTGGAAGGAGAACTCGTGGAACACCTATCTTTGTATAGGCTGGTGAAGCTTTTCCGCTTTTGGGTGGACTTTCTTTCCGTCTCTCCAGTGACCAGACTTATTGTACTGGCTGTATCCACATCGGACTCTGGGGAGATGGAATTGTCTCTGTTGTAACTGGGAGTATCTGGGCCTTCATCAGTTTTACTATCCTCACGTAATTTAGCTTCTAGAAAAGCCATCACTGCTTCTGTGTCTTTCAGAATAAGAGTTGTGTCCATACTAGAATCGGTCTCCGCAGAGTCGCTTCTGTCTCGCAGTCTGCTTGCAGATGTTAATGCTAAGGAGGGGGCGGTGGATGACGTCTGCTTGTTGATATGAGGAATGAGTTCTATGGGGATGTTTGGGCTAGGTTTTTCTATAGTGAAGCTCCCTTGTCGCACTAAAGACTTGGAAGATTCTTTCCTGTCTCCTCCCTTCGAAGTCTGACTTTTCAGGATTTCCTCAGCCTTTTTTCTCTTGCTCTCATTTTGTATTATCCTTTCTCCTTTGCTTGTAGAAAGCCCTGGAATTCTTTCTGGAGGCTGGGACTCTTGTTTAGAAGTTTCCTCCCTACAGTTATCTATTGGGCCTGAAACATTTTTTGGAGACAGCTTAGTAGGTGTCCACTGGATCTGCTCCTTCTGTTCCTGTTGTTGCTGGATTTTAGCTAACGTTTGCTTTACCAAAGAAGCTTCTGAATCACGTTCATTCTTCTCCTTCCCGGGAGAGCTCCCTAGATGAAGCAAGGTCTTATTTTCTCCACCACCACTTTGAAGAATTTCACCATTGACCGTCCGGTTCATTTTGTTCAGGGTTCTATCAGCATCTTGTTTGTCTTTCCGGTGCATCTGTGTAGGCGTCTCTTTCTCCTGCAGCTCTGTGTCTTGCTTCTCTCCTATCTCTGACCTCTGTGTCATCATCTTTGTTCTGGCACTCTCAACAGCCTTTTCTTCATTTGGAAGCTGGGGAAGAGTTCGTCTCCTCCTTTCTCCCTGACTAATCAAAGAAGCTGTAGAGCTAGTATTTCGCAGTGACATGCCTGATTCACCAGTATCTGTCTCTGTAATATAAAAGCCACAAACAAGGAACCCATTGTGATAAAAAAGTTAAAAGTAAAGGGTGAATAGTATTATATTAGATTTTAAGTTAAAAATTCTTTGCCGAGGTTGGAGGTGTGGCTCAGGTGGTAGGGAGCCTGCCAATGAGCAAAAAGAGTCAAACATCAAGTTCAAGTCCCAGTCTTGAACAACAACAAAAAGGACTTGTCAATAGCAAGCTAGGTGACAGCGGTTCACACCTGCATTCCTAGCTACTCAAGAGGCAGAGATCGGAGGATCTCAGTTTAAAGCCAGCCCAGGAAGGAAAGCCTGTGAGACTTTTACCTCCAATTAACCAGCAAAGAAAAAAACCCATAAAACATAAATGAATGTTTGCTTAAGTTTGTTTTTTACTATGCCAATTTAGTCTTTTAAAAAAATTATTGATTTATGACTCACCAAAAAAGAAAAAAAAGAAAAGGAAAAGAAAGGAAATTACCCTTTTCTAAAGGAAGAGATGCAGATAATTCAGTTATTCTGTCTTCTTGATCATGCCTTGTATGATTGGCAGCCAGACTAGCCCACTGTGAAACCCAGCGCTTGCTTCCAGATGATGTGCCTTCCTAAAAGAGAAGAACAAGAGCATGAAAGATAGTCCGGACAGTTCTGATTCTCATGAAGACCAATTTCATTTAGTCATAACTATCATCTCCTTTCAATAAACAAATAAAGCACTGTTCAGCAGATGCCAGAATTCCGGCAAATCAAGGGGGAATAAACACTATAATGCAGTGATGGTTCTGCTTTTGACAATTTCCAGGAAATGGCAAACCATAGCGGTGTATCATTTTATCATCAATAAACAATATGTAGGTCTCTAAACTATCTTATCTGCCAGGTGTGGGGCTCTCACTTGTATTTCTAGCAACATGGGAGACAGAGATGAGGGAGGGCCACAGTCCAAGGGCAGTTTGGGCAAAATGTTTGTGTGTTCCCATCTCAATAAACAAAAACAGAAACAGCGCAGTGGCACAACCTGTCCTCTCAGCTATGTGCAAAGTATTAATAGGATTCCAGTACACACTAGTCTGGGTATAATATGAGACCCGAGTTGGAAAAAATTGAAGCCATGTATGGAGGCTCATGCTTGCAATTCTACACTAAGGTGGCAGAGATCTGGAGAAATGGTTTGAAGCTAACCTGGGGAAAAATGTCTGCAAGACCCATCTCAACTAACAAAGCTGAATGTGGTGGTGGGCACCTATCATTCCAGCTATATGGAAGTGCAAACAGGAGTACTGCAGTGCAGGCTGTTCTGCACAAAGAGATATACTCTATTAGAATAATAATGAAAGCAAAAAAGTTGGGGGTGTGGTTTAAGTGGTAGAGCACCTGTCTACTAAAAATGTAAGTCACTGACTTAAAACACAGTACATCCAAAAGTTTTTTTTTTTTTTACATTTCATACAACTATAAATAAGATACATGTCAGTAAAATAGTATACTTTGATTTCTTTTTTCTTTTTTTTTGCGGTTGTAGGGTTTGAACTCTGGGCTTGAGTGCTGTCCCTCAACTCTTCAGCTCAAGGATAGTGCTCTACCACTTGAGCCTACAGTGCCTCTTCCGGTTTTCTGGTGGTTTATTGGAGATAAATTTTTCACGGACTTTCCTGCCCGAGCTGGCTTTGAACCTCGATCCTCAGATCTCAGCCTCCTGAGTAGCTAGGATTACAGGTGTGAGCCACCGGCGCCCGGCTCTTTGATTTCTTCTTTTTTTTTTTTTTGGAAGGATTTTTTTTTTTGGGTCTCGTCATGAGGCCTGTACTCTGGGCCTGGGCGCTGTCCTTCAGCTCTTCAGCTCAAGGCTAGCGCTCTACTACTTGAGCCACAGCACCACTTCCGGGTTTTTTTTTTGCTTATGTGGTGCTGAGGAATCGAACCCAGGGCCTCAGGCATGCAAGGCAAGCACTCTACCTCTGAGCCACCTTCCCAGCCCCCTCTGATTTCTTTTTTATATTTGGTATTATTTACCATTCATACATCAAAAATTCACTTTTTCTGAAGACAGTATAGCATAATGAGTAAGAGAATTAAGAAATCAGTTTCCGATCCAGATTCTGGTCCCACAAACAATGTGGCCAAGATGTCCTTATATACTTCCAGTTTACTTATTTGTAAATATCACAATACAGGCATCCATTGTATTTTACTTTCTACTATCTAGACAAGTAATTCAGTAATTCGTTCTGATCTATATATATTTTTACATTCTTTTTTGACATAGGAAATCTGATGCCACAGTTATTTTAAAATAAGTCATCCTTAATTAATCTTACATTATTCTACTAATTACATCCTGGCCTGTTTTACATTGACTTATTGAGGTATGTAAGTTATATTTATCAAAAAGTATCTTTCACACACTTCCTGGTATAATAGGTCTTTCAATTTCAGACATATACTTCCTGGAAAGTAGAAGCAGTGTATATTTCTGGTTTTGTCTCATAATGTCATGTAGGATGATGAGTATGAAAATTTATTAATTTACTTTTCACTGACAAAAGCATTTTAATATAAAAGACTGAAATCAAGAGGATTGCTGTTCAAGTAGAGCATGAACCAAGAGTTTACAAGAACCATCTCAAATAACAGTGGTAAGTGCTTGTCATCTCAATTACATAGGAAGCATTAATAGGCGAATCATGCTCCAGACCACCTAAGGAAAACATTTAAAATCTATTTGGGGAAAAAAATAAAGGAAAAAAAAAAGAAAGCAAACAGGGCTTGTATGTGGCTCAAGTGGTAAGCACAAGGCTATGCGTTCAAACTAACCTACTGCAAAACAACCACATATAAAAATCCTAAAAACCATGCCAAAATTGCTTCAGACTTCCATTTAATGAAGACTTAGATTTTACAATTGTCTTAAAAGGGGAGGTGGGCACCAGTGGCTCACACCTGTAATCCTAGCTACTCAGGAGGCTGAGATCTGAGGATCAAGGTTCAAAGCCAGCACGGACAAGAAAGTCTGTGAGACTCTTATCTCCAATAAACCAGTAGAAAACCAGAAGTGGCGTTGTGGCTCAAGTGGTACAGTGCTTGCCTTGAGCTGAAGAGCGCAAGGACAGTACCCAAGCCCAGGGTTCAAGCCCCACAACTGACAAAAACAAAAAGGGGGGGGAGATATATCATTTAATATAAGTTCAAGTGATAAACATTTATACTTTATATAATATGTTGCATCTAAAGTGTTAAGTATACAGAAGAGATGAATACCTCAGAGCTGTGAAATCCAGGTGTGCTAAGTGGCTTTCTTTCTTCCATTACTACTGAAGCAGAGCTGAGAGCCCAATCTTTTATCAGATCTTTATGTTTTTCATTGATAATGGGCCTATTATAATCCTGATTGTCATCTACTCCAAATACCTATGAGGAAAAAATTATTTTATAAATGAAAATGTAAGTCTGAACATCAGATTACTATGTGGGTGTTATCAATAACTTCAGAGGCAAATAAAAATACTTTAACTGCAACAAGAATTTCAATAACAAGAAAAAGTTGTTTAATGGAAGGGTAACATCCAACTGTAGTAGTAGCTGGAGAAGAAAGCAGGCAGTTGTGATTTATGTCCACGTAATTACTTTTTTAAAAATATTTAGTAAATGTCCTGGTCAATAAAAAATAAGAAATCCACTTGATTTGTTAAGACTTAATAGTCTTGCTAAATATGACAATAATTCAGAGTTAGGAAAGAGAACCTCTTTAGCATGTCTACAGCTTGATTCTCCGCTCCATTCTTTCTGATAGTACTGGGGTTTGAACTAAAGGCCTCAAACTTGTGAGGCAGGTGCTTTACCTACCACTTGAGCCATATTCCAAGCCCTTTCTGTTTTTAGTTACTTTTGGGATAGGTTTTGAGTTTCTGCCTAGACTGGCCTGAGATCCTCCTAATTAGGTCTCCCACATTATCAGGAATCACAGGCATGAACTATTATAGCTGGTATATTGGTTGACATGGTTAACTTTTTGCTCCAACGGGGCTTAAACTAGGATCTTCCTGATCTCAGTCTCCTAAGAAGCTCAAGTTACGGAAGTGGCGCTGTAGCTCAAGTGGTAGAGTGCTCGCCTTGAGCTGAAGAGCTGAGGGACAGCGCCCAGGCCCAGAGTTCAAGACCCACGACCGACCAAAAAAAAAAAAAACATGCTTTTGCCGGGCGCTGGTGGCTCACGCCTGTAATCCTAGCTACTCAGGAGGCTGAGATCTGAGGATCGTGGTTCAAAGCCAGCCCGGGCAGGAGAGACCGTGAGACTCCTATCTCCAATAAACCACCAGAAAACCGGAAGTGGCGCTGTAGCTCAAGTGGTAGAGCGCTCGCCTTGAGCTGAAGAGCTGAGGGACAGCGTCCAGGCCCAGAGTTCAAGCCCCACGACCAACAAAAAAAAAAAAAAAAAAGAAGCTCAAGTTACAAGTATAAGCCATTGTGCCTGGTTCTGCGCTATCATTTTTGAATGTTGAAAAACAACAGACATATAACTTTTTATCTATTCTTTCCATATCAAGTGTTTAACATTTAAATGAGAGTTAAATTAACATGCATAACTTTCAGTTTGGGGAGTCAAAACTGAAGGCCAGGTGCTTGCTAAGGAAGCACTCTTAACTAATGAGCCATACCTCCAGAGCTAATTTTTGCTTATTATTTTTGAGACAGGGTTTTGCATCCTGTCCAGAAACAAGCTTCAGCCTGATCCTCCTATATTAAGTTTTCTGGAAGCTAGGAAAACAGGTACATAGCCACTGAATCCAGCTCTCCAGAGAGAAGGGGTCTCTTGGAACATCTTTCTGCTGTGGTTGGCTTTGAACGGCTATCACAACCATTTCAGCTTCCCAAGTATAAAGGGCTCCAGGTGTGAACCAGTGACACCTAGCTAAATTTATACTTATAGTTTTTTTGTGCTGGTCCTGGGCCTTGAACTCAGGGCCTGGGTAATGTCCCTGAGATTTTTTGCTCAAGGCTAGCACTCTGCCACCTGAGCCAAAGCTCCATTTCTGACTTAAACATTTACTTACATATTTTTAAGTTAAATGTTAAGAAAATAAAGTTTGAGAATTAAGGTGGTCACTTTGAGAAGTTCTGAATAAAAGCACAGATATTCTTTTATTTTTATTTATTTACTTATTTATTTTTGTCAGTCGTGGGTCTTGAACTCTGGGCCTGGGCACTGTCCCTCAGCTCTTCAGCTCAAAGAGAGTGTTCTACCTCTTAAGCCACAGCACCCCTTCTGGTTTTCCGGTGGTTAATTGGAGATAAGTCTTTTGGGCTTTCCTGCCCGGGCTGGCTTTGAACCGTGATCCTCAGATCTCAGCCTTCTGAGATTACAGGTGTGACCCACCAGCACCCAGCTATTCTTTTATTTTTAAATGAACAGAATCTGAGTTTTACTCATTTCCTGGCACAAAAAAGGCCTAAAAATTCCTTTTAAGGTGTCGAGACCTACACATATTTGCTAGAGATGCAGTAATTATTTCTTTCCCACATAGGTAGCAGGACAGGAATACTAAAATACAGGGGAAGAAGACTTCAAATCTCATATATTTTTGGTAGCATCTTGGAAAACTCTCTTACAGCAATAACTAGCTTGAAATCCTATCTATTCATTCTTGTATGTAGCTATACAAAAATACTTGAGACATTTTTATTTTGAAAACAAAGCATACAAACATTTTATACTGATGTATACCTTAAGGCTAACATATTCTTTACGTTTAAGAGAGTACCTGCAACCTTAGATAATATCTTGAGCGCTTGTCAAAACCAAGATCAAGATACCAATTTTTTTTTAATCTTCCAGTCTAGATTCTGTCCCTGGAGACTTCATCCACATGGAAGTCTTCATTCACTTCTCTTATCAACAGCTTGCCTACCTGTTTTTTCTCTTCGTAGATGGCACAAGATATTTCAGATACAGTTAGTGCTAGGGCCTTTATTCTCTTCCCCTTCCCACCCTGACCAGGTCTCAACTGAAATCCCAAACTACCAGCACAGATGTAGGTCTTTCATCCAGCCAGGTACTTCAGGCTGGAAGTCTATAGTGTGGGAGGATGTACCAAAAAAAGTGGAGGAGAGGACTTAAAAAATTATATTTTTCCCTGTCTCACTTTCCCTCTCCCAACTCTCTTTACTTTAGAGGTATCAGGGCCCTGAGTCATTAGGTGGATGCTCTACCACCTGAGCCAGAGCCAGAGCCATTGTGTTTGTGAAGCCTCTGTGGAGCTGTGAAAATAGGCACAGGACGCCATATCCAGGAGCTTTTTGTTGTTGAGACAAGGTCTCATTCATTTACTTGTTGCCCAGGTTGGTCGAGGATGGCTCTGTGTTTTCCAGCCAGAGGCATGGATCACTGTGCCTAGTTAATCTCTCTCTCTCTCTCCTCCCCTCCACCCTCTGTCTCTCTCTCTCTCTCTCCTCTGTTTTTATTTTTTTGTCAATGGTGGGGCTTGAACTCAGGCCCTAGGCACTATCCCTGATCATCTTCTACTTGAGGCTACTGTTCTACCAGTTTGAGCCATAGCATCACTTCTGGTTGTCTGGTTATTAATTGGACATAGAGTCTCAAGGACTTTCTTGCCCAGGTTGGCTTTAAACTATGATCCTCAGATCTCAGCCTCCTGAGTAGCTACGATTACAGGCATGAGCCACCAGCACCCGGCCACTAATTTCTCTCTTAAAGAGAAAAATTTCTTAAGAGTGGAGTGTGAATTAACATTGTGATTTTTATAATACATGTGCAACCAACATTTAAACTTAAAGTTCAATCAAAATTGTTAGAACTCAGAAAGAGGCTAGGAGAAACGTTTTATAATTTGCCAAAATATACACATAAATACAAGTACATCCATGTTCATAGCAGCATTATTTATAATAGCAAAAGTTGGGGAAAAACCCCAAATGTCCATGAATGGATAAAATATTATTACTATGAGGCCATGAAAATAAATGTTTATTATACTGCATAATTCTTAGAAAACTTTTAAGTGACAGTAGCCAGTCATTAAAGGGTACACATAAATGATCCTATTTATATGAAGTGTCTAGAAAAAGCAAATGCAGAAAGGCAAAAAACAGATGACTGATTTCCAAGAGTCTGAAGAAGGAATGGACAGGAAATGATTACTTGATGAGTATGAGACTTTTGTTTTAGTATAATGAAAAATTTCGGATTTAGTCATGATCACTATACAACATTGTACAACAGCCACTGAATTTTACTATATACTCCATGTTGGACCAAAATTCCAATTATCCTGCCTTGGTTTCCTGAATGCTGAGATTGGTGTGTACTGGGCATAAATCGCTTTATTTTGGGGGCTAGAGGCAATACTGGGGCTTGAACTCAGGGCCTGTGTGCTGTCCTGAGCTTTTGAGCGCAAGGCTAGTGTTCTACCACTTGCGTACCACTCTACTTTCAGCTTTTTTGGTAGTTAATTGGAGATAACAGTCACATGGTCTTTCGTGCCTGGGCTGGCTTTCAATTGCAATTCTCAGATCTCAGCCTCCTGAGTGGCTAGGATCACAGGCGTGAACCACTAGTGCCAGGACTATTTGCATATTTTAATGACCAAAGTATCCAGTTTTATGCTATGTAAATTTTATTTCAATTTTTTAAAAAAGATATTACTTTACTTTCTATAGTGGCTCAGTTACTGCCTATATTTTCAACCTATTCTTAAGTTTCTTTCAATACTTTCAAATTACTCCTATTTCATCTTCCTTATAAAGTAAAAATATTCCATTTTTCCTTTTGATGGCTTTCATTTGGTCTGCTACTCTGTGTTTCTTACATGCATCTTATGTTGCTTTGCCTTCAATTTGGCCCTGTCCACATTAGTTCTGACTGATCATGGTTCTCTTGGTTCTGACTTAGATATAATCGAAAATTTTGCTGTGACCCAGGATACACATTCTCAGCAAGCCTTTGCTGGGCTATGACTCACAGCTATAGATGTTCTCTATGTTGAATTTTTCGTTTAGCTACACTTCTGGTTATGGATTCCATCCCACAGGTTGAAATAGAACTAGCACAAACTATACTCCATGAGGGAAGAGGATGTTGGCAACAGTGGGTAAAGAACCAAAACACAGGACAAGGAAAAAATGTTTGGCACAGGTTTTTCTCTGATAGGAAATTTAAGAGGAAGAGAGATACTCTTCCCAAGCCCTCTACCATAATCCACATTTCTCATCTTCATTTAATATTCCCCTTTCCATTTCAGGGCAGTTTCTCACATAGCCTGGGGGAGGCGAGGAGGGAGTGACAGGGAAGACTTTCCTTACCCTCAGTAGCATGTGTTCTGAGGAGCAGGGAGAAGAAACTGGTACTGTGATGTGTTCTCTGGAAGGTTTCACAGAAAGGTCAAGACAGGAAG